GCCCGGGATCAGCTCTCGCAGAACGTGCGTGCCCTGGTCTCCTTCCGGCGGCTGCCAGCGGAGGGGCCCGCGGGCAGTGGGGTAAGCAGCCAGGGAGTGGGCAGAGGACAGGGACCTGGGAGAGGTTTGGGGGTCACGTGGAGGTGGTGCCGGGCGTCAGAGGGAGGGGCTCGCCTGACCGGACACGGCTGGACCTGACCTGCCGACGCCTGCGGGCCCCTCTCGGTCCCCCAGAAGGAGCTGCTGGAGCTGGAAGGCTGTGGGGGCGCCCGCCTCTTCCGCCGGGGGAACCCCTACTGCTCCCCCACCCTGGTGCGCAAGAAGGCAATCCGCAGCAAGGTGATCCGCTCCGGGGCCTACCGCGGCTGCACCTACGAGACCCAGCTGCAGCTGTCCGCCCGGGAGGCCTGTGAGTCCGGAGCCGCCTGCCCTGCGGGCCTGGGGCATGGCCTGTGGGCCCGAACGTCTTTCCGCCCGGCCTTGCCGGCGCCTCCGAGCAGAGGCCTGTGTGTGGCTGTGTCGTGTCCGCTCCTGAGTGCCCAGGGCTCGCAGCATGATGGTGCGGCTGTGGCTGTGCTTAGCTGGTGGGGGTGTGCTGGGTGTGGGGGTGTCTTTCAGAGGCTGGATGTGTGGCTGCTGGCGAGGAGACAGGGGTGGGGTCCTAGGGCCTGTGGGGGTGAGGTGCGCTGGGTGAGGACGAATCCATCTCTCCCTCTGACTTCTGGATGGTCCCACAGTTCCTGCCGCCTGGGAGGCGGGGCCCCACGGGCCTGGCGGCCCCACGTGCCTGGTGGAAACGGAGGGCAGCCTGACCGAGAACATCTGGGCCTTCGCTGGCATCTCCAGGTAGGAGCGGCCTGGCCTGGCTGAACAGCCTGCCCCTTGGGGTGAGCAGAGGCAGAGGCTGTGGGGGCCCCTGCCGCTCGGGGCCCTGACGTGTAGGTGCAGATTCCTGCGTAAGTGCAGGGCGTTCCTGCTCTCGGGCCAGAGCCTCCAGCATCGTGGGCCTTGGTGTCTCAGCCGGAAAGTGGGGATAATAAAAGGACCTTCGTGGCAGGGTTGGGGGAGGGTCAAGTGAGATCATTCAAAGGACTGAAGACCTCAGCTCCAGGGGACAGCTCCCCAAATGTCAGGGCTTTCAGATGCTCCTGATCAGGTCTTGGACGCGCTAGACACCTTTCTGAAAGTAGGGCTAACGCTTCCTGTCCGGAGCCCCTGTTCCTGGCAGGTGCTTAAGACAGTATGGGCCCAGCCAGGTGGCTCTGTGGTTGAGCGTCGACTTATGTATGCTCCAGGAGGTCCCAGGGTACACGTCCGGGTTGCGGGCTCTATCCCCCATTGTGGGATGTGCAGGAGGCAGCTGATCAATCATTCCCCCTCTCTCTCCTTGAAACCGACAAAAATTATATATCAGTAAACTTTAAAAGATGCTCTGGGGCTGGCACACCATTGCCTGGGAGCAGCCTGAACCAGGCCAGACTAGCGGGCCCACCTGCAGCCTCTCCCTCTGCCCCCCAGGCCCCGCGCCCTGGCTCTGCTGCGGAGAGACGTGCTCGGGGCCTTCCTGCTGTGGCCCGAGCCGGGCGCCTGCGGCCAGTGGTGCCTGTCGGTGCGGACCCAGTGTGGCGTGGTGCCCCACCACGTCTTCCGGAACCACCTGGGCCGCTACAGCGTGGAGGTAGCGTGCGGGCCGTCAGCCCCCCACTTGCCCGCGGGCCCCTCTCCCTTTCACTCCAGAGCCCGCCTCACCCTCATCCTAGCCCCCCGTTGGCTCTCTCTGGCCCCATCCCTTACGTATTTCCATCCAGCTCCTCAGTCATGGTGCCTGCTGCCCCCGCCCCCACTGGTCCACCCAACCCCGCCTCTGCCTATGGGCTCGCCCTGGGCCCCTCTCCAGAGGCCTTGGGAGGGCACCCCGAGCAGAGTCTGGGGCCAGCGTCATGCTTCACGTTCTGTGGGGAACCAGGGTTAAGTCTGCTTTCCCGCACCCTCACCCATCGCTTCCCGGGAGGAAGCTGACTCAGGGTAGGGCTTGCTCAGCTCAGACAGCCTCTGAGCCTCCAGGTCTGGAGTCTCGAATGATCCCAGGTTTCCCAGGGCCCGGGAGGGGCGGGGCCTTTTTAAAGGTGCACCCTCACCTCCGTGCTCAGTGCCTCAGTCCCGGCCTGGCCCGGAGGAGATGGGGAGAGGACATGGGGCCTGGCTGTGCTGGGGAGCAGCCCGGGGACCTCACTGGAGCTCCTCCCTCCCTCCCCCCCAGCACCTGCCCGCCGAGTTCCCCAGCCTGGAGGCCCTGGTGGAGCACCACGCGGGGACTGCGCGCAGCCTCTTCTGCTCGCTGGACATGGGCCGCCTGAACCCCGGCTACGAGGAGCAGGACTGGGGGCCCGAGGGCAGGCCGCCCCGGACACTCCGGCCCCTGGGCCATGCCAAGTCCGAGGCAGAGCTGCAGGGCCTGGGCTAGGGGGCCGGGCCCCACATCAACGGCCTTGCCTTCCCTGGTCCCTGGGCCTCAGCAGGCCACTCTGCCCTTCTTCCACCCCTTGGCCGGTTGCACCCCGTCTCTCAGCCCCTTGGACCGGCCTTCCATCACTCACGGACTGTGGCGGAACCCTGAGATTGGGGGTTCTCACTCCACATGTGGCCCCTGAGGTGGCAGGGAGGGTAGCAGATCTCCAGGCTCCTGTGAACTTGCAGGTGGCTTGGTCTCGCTCTCCGGGCTTCACTGGAGCTTCCTGGGGGGAGGAGGGGGCGGGAAGGTTATTCCCAGTGGAGGGGTAGCCTGTCCTAAGGAGGCCAGGCTGAGGGGCCGTGACTGGGAGTCTCTGGAGAGCACCTGTCGGAGGCAGCCAGACGCGGAGGGCGAGGTGCCTGGGGAGGCAGGAGAAGCGAGGTCTCACTTTGGGCAGAGGCCTGGGGTGAGCCACCCTCTCAGGAGAGACACAAATGACTCAGTGGAGCCTGTGGGCCGCACCCCGGCTGCGTTTCTCAAGTTGTCTGCGGTAAGGGAGTCTTCCCCTGAGTTCTGGAGCGCGGGCTAGGAGGGTGCAGAGGCCAGGGTGGAGGAAGAGCCGCCACCTGAAGCCCCTGCGCGGGGCGGACACCTGTGTGCGGAGAGGGACGGGAGCCATGGGGAGAAAGGATCGCAGGACACCGCTTGGGAAGGCTGGTCTGTACTCAAACCACAGGGCGGTGATTCCCGCTCACGGGGAAGGATGCCCAGCCTCACCCACTTTTCCATGGCACACCCACAGTGCATTTCCTTCCGCCGGTTGACTGGGGGGATAGCAGTGAGCTGAGAGGGCTGAGAGCCCAGCTCAGCTTGCAGACTGCAGTGGGTTCGGTGGCTGCCTGGGAAGGCACCTGAGGAGGGGATGGCCCTCAGTGAGGCGCTGACCGGCTGTCAGGAGCCGCCGTGCCACCCTAGGCCAGTTCCATTGGGGAGAGGGCAGAGCAGAGCCATCGGAGTTAGAACTGGTGTGGGCTCTGCCCCAGGGGCTTGGCCTCAGCGGACTGAGGGAGTCACGGAAGTGATGGTAGTCTGCAGGACGGACCCGTGCTGATTGGTAGGTGGACACAAATCCGCCACATGGAGGAAGGTCACTGGGTGAATTTCTTATGTCTAAGATAAAGGCCTCGTCATGAATCTGGGCTGCCCGCTCGCTCTCTTCCTGGGAGTTGGGTGTGACTGTTTTGTGCCTTGAAAGTCATAGATTCTGGCTCCTCCCACGAATAGCAGCCCCACAGACAAGAAAGGGAGGGAGGGTCCCCCATTTCCCTGGCGGAGAGAAGGGTTTGGTGACACCGTGCCCAGGATTATAGCACTAGAGTCGCACATTGAAGGCCAGAGCTTTGCCTCGGTGATGGGTGTGCAAATTATCCACGTGGACAAGGTGTCAGCGATGTTTCCAAAGCCCTTTAACATTCTTCACAACATCTGTTGTTCACGTGGCACACGTAGGGCAAGGTTTTTTACCCGTGTGTGCAAACACATCCATGTCTTAATTGTAGATCAGTTTTCTCTCTTTTCCAACCAGCACCACCGGGGTAGCCCAGTTCTCTGTACTGTATGTACTTGAAATAAAATGCATTTCTGTGGAATGTCTGGTACAGACTTTTTCTTTGGAAGGTGATGTCTTTGTTCGGTTTTCCTGTTTTGTTTTTGTTTGCCACTATGCCTGCAGCTGGTGCTGACTGGCAAACCAGACAGGTCTTGTTCTCAGAGGCAGAGGATGTCCTGAAGGGATCAGATCAGTATTTTCTTTTTAAAAAATATATTTTATTGATTTTCCACAGAGAGGAAGGGAGAGGGATAGAGAGCTGGAAAAACATCGACCAGCTGCCTCCTGCACACCCCCCACTGGAGATGTGCCCGCAACCAAGGTACATGCCCTTGACCAGAATCGAACCTGGGACCTTTCAGTCCGCAGGCCGACGCTCTATCCACTGAGCCAAACCGGTTTCGGCTAGTTTAGCACTTCTTAGTTGGGATTCAGGAATCTGTAGTTCATTAACAACTCCACCAGGTGACTCTCATCGTGAGAGAAGTTTGGGGAACTTAACCTCTGCACCGGGCGGTGGGCAGCCCCGCGTGCAGGCTTCCGGCCGGGAGGCCCCTGCTCACGAGCGCGGGCAGCGCGCGGCGGCCTCGGCCTCGCAGCCGCCACCTGTGACGCCACGTGCGTTGCTAGGCGACCGCGAACGCCGCGCAGCCTGCGGGCCAGCGGGCGGCTGGGCCTGGGTCGTGCGGCGCCTGCAGCGCGGATCCCCCACGTCCCGCCGCCGGGCCTCAGGGGCAGACGAGCCGCCGCGGAAGGAGGCAGCGCCCGCCCCGGTCCTGCGGCTCCTCGCCGCCCCCTTCCCCTCCCGGGGCCCCGCGAGGCGCCCAGCGCTCCCCCCGCAGCCCCGGCCCCGCCGCGAGGGCCGCCCCTGCGCCCGGCTCTCCCCTGTCCCCGCCGGGCGGTTGTCGGTCCCCACCGGCCCCGGGAGCCCGCCCCGCCATGGCCGCGGAGTCGGTGAAGGTGGTGGTGCGCTGCCGCCCCATGAACCAGCGGGAGCGGGACCTGAACTGCCGGCCCGTGGTGACGGTGGAGTCGGCGCGCGGCCAGTGCTTCATCCAGAACCCCAGCGCCACCGACGAGCCCCCCAAGCAGTTCACCTTCGACGGCGCCTTCTTCATGGACCACTTCACCGAGCAGATCTACAACGAGATCGCCTACCCGCTGGTGGAGGTGAGGGCGCCGGAGGCCGCCCCAGGACCTGCCGGGCAGGACTTGGGGCCCCCCCGGAGGGATGGTGCAGCCCCCCACCCCCCTGGTAGGACCCCTGCAGGCAGAAGAGGGCAGGACCCTGCCCACTAGGTCTGTGCCTGGGTCTCCGGGACACCCAGTGCCCAGGCGGCTCGCACCCTCACACCTTATAGCCCCTTAGGTTCCTTCATTCCCACAAGAATCCAGCCTGCAGGACCACCTGCCCCCACCCTCACCTGAGAGCTTCAGACTGCTCCAAACCACTTTCATTCCCACGAGAACTTCTCCAAGAACTCCATTCTCCAGCCACTTTCTCCATCTCCCTTCCCCGCCCATCCCCAGCCTTGGCCTCTGCTTTCTCCCCTCAGCAGTCAGAGCCGCTCTTAATCCTGTGCGGGAGGGAGGAAGCCCTCCTGCTCCTGCTCCTTTGAGCTTCATAAAGCCCGGAGGGGAGGGGGCACTCACATTTCACAGATGGGGAAACTGAGGCTGGGTGGGAGGAGCCAGGCCCCCACAGGGCCTCTGATAGCGGTGGGGCTGGATCTGCACCTGCTGTCCTCCAGGCAAGGGCTCTTCCATTTCTGCTGACATCTCCCCAGCTGCCGGCGGATCGCTGGGGAGATGGGACAGGGGGTTCCCGGGAAAGAGGGAGAGTCTGCGAAATGCTCTGCACACTCTCCCTTGCTTGAAGACCTAGGACGATGCCGAGGAGGAGGGCCGCTCTCCCCAGGGGTGGTCCCAGGCTCTGGGGATGGCAGGCTGTTCCTCTCTGTCCCGGATTTCCAGGCTGAAGGGACCTGAGGGGTCATCTCGTCCAGTCTCCTCCCCATCGGATCTTTGCCTTGACTGTCCACCCCGTGGAAGGGGCTCACTTTCCCCAGAGCGTCCCAAAGCCCCCCTCTGCTGCTGGGCTCCTGGAGACCACCGGACACTGTAGCACCTCTCACTTCACATGCACAAGGGTCCCCGGTAACAGTGAAGTGAGGCACGCTAAGCCGTGTTTAGTGGGAGAATACTTTACACTGCTTCCGCTTTTAAGTGTAAATTAATTAAAGTAAATGCAGTATCTTGTTTGCCCCAGGCATGTGTCCAGTGTGGCTGGTGGCTACCCCCCCTCCCCCGATGGTGCCGGGGTATTTATGTTTTTGCAGACCCTTGTCGGGGTCTGGGTTCGGGTCGATACTTGGGGCGCTGCACCACGTTCCTGAGACTTCGTGTGCCCCTGGCTCTGAGGAGCCCAGCTGGGGCCCTCGGGTGATGGCTCCGCCACAGCCTGTCCCCCTCTACCAGGCACCCATCCCTGTGTGCAGCCCTCGCAGTGGTCAGCGTTTCCTCAGATGGGAGAGCTGAATCCTGTCCAGTTCTGCCCATTAAAATGAGGCCTCCCTCCAAGGAACGGTGACTGGTGGCCAGGCTGCCCTCCCCAGCCGTCCCCTGGGACCGGAGCCCCACGCAGTCTGCAGGGCGGGTCTGTGCAGGGAAAGCGGGCAGATGCCATGGGGGCCCTCGGGTCCGGGAGCAGCTCTCGGGCCCAGGTTCTGATGGGGTTCCCCCCTCCTCACAGGAGGTTCTGGAATTTGTGTCCTCCTGTGTGAGGGCGGGGACGGGGTGTCCTCCTGAGCCATTGTTCTGTCCCCTGTTGGAGCCGGCGCCTGGCGTTGGGAAGCGGTGCCTGCAGAAGGAATAAATGCATCTGAATGAAGGAGGCCTTCAGGGTGCCACCCCGTTTGTCCTGCCTTTCTTTTCAGCTGCTGCCTCCACCCCTCTCACCCCAGCTTCTCTCCTCTCTGTCAAGCTGTCCCCTCAGCCTGGAGTGCCTTCCTCTTCTGTCACCTGTCAAAACCCACGCCTCCCCTTCAGTTCCCCCAGTTCCACTCACCCAGGGCCTGGTTCCTCCCACACCATCCTGTCCCCTCTCCTCCCCCACACTCCCTGTCCTTGCCCAGGGCCTGAGCTCCCCACGTTACACTCCCCTCTGCTTGCCTGTATGGGAACCACTCCCCCACAATCCAGGCGACCCAGGACATTTAGTGAGCAGCTCTGTACCCCAGCACCCCTGCCAGTGCCTGCAGTGCTTCTCGGGGAACCCTCACACAGACCCCTCGTTTCAGAGGAGGAAACTGAGGCGCCACGTGCCTGCGTTCCAACAGGCCAGGGGCTCCCAGTCAGCGAAGGGAAGAGACTGAGTGAACCCGGGTGTCTAGACTCCGGGGCACACGCTCTTAACCTCACACAGGACAGACTCCTACCCCAGCAGGCACTGACCTTGAGGACAGAGCTGGGCCTCATTCATGCCCACCTGCCCGCCCCCAGCCCAGGGACATGGAGGTGGGAGGCCCAGGAGGGGTCCAGGGTCAGCCCCTCAGACCTGGCCGTGCCGGGCCTGCTGAGCACCGGGTTCTGGTCCTCCCCGCAGGGTGTCACAGAGGGCTACAACGGCACCATCTTTGCCTACGGCCAGACGGGCAGCGGCAAGTCCTTCACCATGCAGGGCCTGCCCAACCCGCCCACCCAGAGGGGCATCATCCCCAGGGCCTTCGAGCACGTGTTTGAGAGTGTGCAGGTACGGCCTCGGGAGGGCAGGGCAGGCAGGGGCCGGGCGGCGGGTCCCAGAGCACGTGTCACTCCGGGGTGAACGAGGCCTCTACAGCACGGCTGAGCGGAGGCAGGCTCTGGTTTTCTAAATGTGATGGGAGAACTTAAACTGAAGCAGCGACACCTCAGTTCCATGTTTTTCTCTTGCTATTTTGGGATTTTTAAAAAATTTCATTTTAGCCGAAACGGGTTTGGCTCAGCGGTAGAGCGTCGGTCTGCGGACTGAATGGTCCCAGGTTCGATTCCGGTCAAGGGCATGTACATTGGTTGTGGGCACATCCCCGGTATGGGGTGTGCAAGAGGCAGCTGATCGATGACTCTCTCATCGATGTTTCTAACTCTCTATCTCTCTCCCTTCTCTGTAAAAAAATCAATAAAATATATTTTTTTAAAAATTTCATTTTAGAGAGAAGGGAGAGGAATAGAGAGAAATGTGGATGTGAGAGAGGAACATCCATTGACTGCCTCCTGCATGCCCCTTACTGGAGATTGAGCCCACAACTTGAGCACATGCCCTTGACCAGATTTGAACCTGGGACCCTTCAGTCGTCCGCAGGCTGATGCTCTCTCCACTGAGCCAGACCGGCTAGGGACCAAGCCTTGTACAAAGCCCTTTAGTATCCTATGGAACTCCGCCCGGGTCCTGCAGGTAACCATCATCCCCATTTTCAAGAACGGGAAGCTGAGACTTGGAGCCCCTGTGGGGTGGCTCCAAACCAGTCATCCCAGCCCTAGCTTGTTTGGCTCAGGGGATAGAGCGTCAGCCTGCAGACTGAAGGGTCCCAGGTTCGATTCTGGTCAAGGGCACATGCCCGGGTTGCAGGCTTGATTCCCCAATAGGGGGTGTGCAGGAGGCAGAACATCAATGATTCTTTCTCATGATTTGTTGAAGTTTCTATCTCCCTCTCTCCCCTTCATCTCTGGAATCAATAAATAAAAAAAATAATAATAAAAACAACACAGTCACCCCAGTGTCCAGGCTGCAGGTGAAAAGTGCAGTGGTGTTTGTGGCAATGCACAGAGATTCCTGCATCTGGGAAATGGCAACGTGGGGGCCAGGACCCTGGTCCGCTGCAGAGCTCCCTGTACCTGCACCCGGGACTCATCCGGTGAGAGGGCTGCCAGGGATCGGCCCAGGGCCAGTGCGTGGGCCAGGCCTTACCTGTGGCCTCAGTTTCTCTACCTGAACAATGGGAGGCCTCGCCCATCTCTTGTCCATTGAGGCCTGTAGAGAGAGCATTGGACAACAGCAATATGAGAAGGATGCGCCTGTGAAGCCTGACTGGCCCCCGCCCGCCCCGCCTTGCCGGTGCCTGGCTGCAGGGCTCAGGGGGCAGGGCCAGGGAGGCAGCAGGGGCTCAGGTGTCCGTCTGAGCTCTCTGCCCCCTCCCTGCAGTGTGCGGAGAACACCAAGTTCCTGGTCCGGGCCTCCTACCTGGAGATCTACAACGAAGATGTCCGAGACCTCCTAGGGGCTGACACCAAGCAGAAGCTGGAGGTGGGTGCGGACCTGGCGCGGGCGGGTGGGGGCTGGTGGAGAGGGGAGGTTGGCATCAGGTGGCGGGGGTCCCTCAGAAATGCAGGAAAGCTGTCCTGAGTGCACGGGTGCGGGTTCAGACTGTGGAGAGGACTTAGGACCCACGCGGTGGTTGTGAGATTCAAGAGGGTGATGAGGGCAGGGCGCACTGCTCGGCGGAGCTGGTGTTCAGTGTGTGAGCGATTCCATCCATTGTGATTCCCGGGAAGGACAGTGGTGTGACTGGCGGCTGCACAGTGGGGACCCAGGGAGGAGGAGGCAGGGCTGATGGGCATGTGTTGGTACATTGTCCTCAGCCTCCTAAAAGGCTAGAGCTGGAATGAAAGAACGTTTTTTTGAGGCCAAATTTGATGCTTTGAGGGTCCCGTCAAGATGACAGAACTGTCCTGGCCAGTTTGGCTCAGTGCATAGAGTATTGGCCTGAGGACTGAAGGGTCTCAGGTTCAATTCTGGTCAAGGGCACTTACTTCGAATGCTGGCTGGATCCCAGGCCCTTGTGGGGCCGTGCAGGAGGCAACCAAGTGATATATGTCTCTCCTCCGCCCTCCCACTCTCTCTAAAAACCAATGGAAAAGTGTCCTCGGTGAGGATTAGAACAATGACAAAAGGAACCTTGGGGGATGACAGAACTGATCCTCTGGGCTCTTTAAACTCTGAGTGGGCCTGGGCAGGTCCCAGGAGGAGAGGCCAGTGTCCACGGGGAGTGCCGGCAGCTGCCCCCCAAGTCTGGTGCTTCTTATCTGACCAAGCAACCAACGGGGTCAAAAGGGGGTCGGGGGTTGAGGGTCAAGGGCCATCCCACCTCCCTCAGAGGCAGAACGTCCGAGTTGGGGGAGTGCCAGTCATTAAACAGCATCAGCCCTGGGAGGTTGCTAAGGAGATTCCCATTTTACAGGCGAGGAAACTGGGCTGGGAAAGAGGGTCACTGGGTCCCTGGGTAAGAAGTGGCAGAGTCAGGGTTGGACATTTTCCATGACCCCAACGGCGTCAGTCTCCCAGGCCACGTGCCTCCACAGCCATGGGGGCGAGCAGAGCCTGCCGTCCCCTCGATGGCACAGGGCACTGGAGCCGCCCATGTGCGAGTGTTTCTCCGCTCGGCCCCAGAGCCTTCTACTTCCCTCCTGACCCCCTTCCCCCCCGCTTGTCCTGGCTTCATTGGCGGGGGCCACTCCATGGCCCCGTGGGACAGTCAGACTGGGAGCCATGGACACGTCCTCAGTGTCTGAGCCGGAAAGACCCTGAGAGAACTTTTAGTGAGCCCCGTCCTGGTACCGATGAGGAAACTGTGGCTGAGGTCACATGGCAGACTGCTTGTTGTCCCTGAACTCGTGGGATGTGTTCGGTCAGGTGCTTTCCTCCCTGTGTTTTTGGAGTCAGCAACATAGGAACCCTCTGGGGCAATAAGAAGCAAAAATTAGGTTCCAGTGAGGGAGGGGCATGTAGGTTCACTCATTCAGCAAAAGCTTACTGGGGGCAGGGGCCGGGGGCCGGGGGCAGGCCCCATGCAGCAGGTCACACAGGTGTGCCTCCCTCCCTCCCTGCCAGCCCCCTCCAGACCAGGGCCCCGCCCGGCCCCTCCTCTGCCTCTCCCAAACACAGCAGTGCTTTACCCTTTCTGTGCGGGAGCTCCAGCCGCCCACCTGGATCTTTTCCTGTCTTTTCTAGCAGCTGAGTCACTCCTCAGCCCCAGACAGGGAAGGCGGGAGGGGGGGGAGGGAAGCAGCGCAGGGAGCTGCTCCCACTGGTCAGCCCGAAAGGCCAGCCCTGGGGCACGGCACAGGGCCCCTAGCCGGGCGTGGTCACCAGGCCCTGAGGGATGAGGGCTGGCAGCCACGCCCTGGCCCCCGCTGGGCCCGGGGCCTCAGGCTCGGGGAGCCGGGCTGGGGGTGGGGGGGCTGCTGGGGACAGAGGCGCTCCAGGACACTCCCTGGGGTGCTCTAAGCTTCGACCCTGACCCGGTGCCTCGCAGAGAAGGCAGAGGGGTTCTCACGTGACCTCACAGCAGCCTTCGGAGGAGGTGCTGCTTGTACCCTTAAACACAGAGGGGAAACTGAGGCCGGCGCCTGGGGGAGAGCAGCCGCTGGCCCAGCAGTGAAGGGGGAGACCGGATACCAACGCAGGTGGTCAGGCCCCCCGCACAGCGCGGGCCTGAGCGCTTCGGTAATTGGGGTTATTAGGTCAGCGAGGGCCAGCGAGAGATGTTGGGGAGCAGGGTTATACCTCCTCCCCAAACCACGAACTGTCAGGGAAATACCCCGGCAGTGGGCGGAGGGGGTCGCCTCGGGGGCCCTCCGTCAGGTCCTGTACCCCGTGTCCCGGCAGCGTCAGGACCCCTCTTCCGTGGGGGTGTTTCCTGGCTCCGCGTGTCCTGCCTGTGCGCCAGGCTCAGCCATGCCACATCCCCGCTGGTTGTCATGGCGACAGGGCAGCCCTGCAGCTGTGGAGCGGTTACCAAGGAACGGGCACAGCTGGTGCTGTCACTCAGCGCTCCCCCCCAGCTCCGGGTGGGCGGGAGGACCATCAGGGGAGGTGGGGAGGCAGCCCGGGATCGCGAGGTGGGGAAACCAGCCTTCCTAGATCTAAACATGGGGTGGGGTGACCGCTCGTGAGGGGGTGCCTCCCTGCCCCCTTTTCTGCTCATGAGAGACAGTGTCCTCACCTCTACATGGCCTGTGCTCACTCAGCCCCTCCAAGCTCCCAAAGAACTTTCTATCAGCTCCATTCTCTTCTTCGTCCTCACAGGCAGGCAGAAATAGGCTTTATTGACCTCATTTTACAGGTGACAAAATCAAGGCCAGAGAGGCAAGCTGACTGCCCCAACCAGAGCAGGTTTCCATCCCTCGCCTGTCTGACTCAATAGGAACTGCCTCCTCCCTGAAGCCGGGGGCAGCCTCTCACCCAGACCTGCGGTGTGCCAGCCAGCCTTCCGGGTTCTGCCAGGCAGGAGGCCGCTGTGGGGCCCGCAGGTGGCGTGAGCACAGCCGCCAGGCGCTGCGCAGCCTCCCGCTGGCTCCACACAGGGTCTCCCCCCCTCTGGCCCACAGCCGCCTCTGAGGTCAAGGTCAGCCGTGTCATTTCACACGTTAGTTACTGCAGGACGCTCCGGCCTCTCCCCAGGCCATCCCTTTGGACTCTTCGCTGTCCGTCACCCCAGTGAGGGCTGCCCCTGAGACTGTGTGATCCCAGCAAGCCGCTTCGCCCCCGTGCCTCAGTGGTCTCTCCGCACTGCCCCGGGCAGCGCAAGGCCATACCAGCCCCCTCCGAGGGGCCGCCGGACCCAACGCCGCCCGGGACCTGGCGCTGCCCGGAGCAAAGCGCCTGAGCCTTCAGACGGGCAGACGGGCGGCTCTTGTCCTGATTCACTCTGCTCTTGTCGGAGCGGTTTTGTGTCCTCTCACACTTGAGAAATGTTGCGTTTCACAGCTCCGTGTCAGCAACAAAACAACGCGGCTGCCTGGATGGCAGGCAGGCAGGGAGCAGTCGGAGAAATTAATTTACTCACTGCCACTGCGCGGAGAGCCACAGAGCTGTGAGCCATCTGGGGTTCTGGGCAGCACGTGGCACTCACCGACATCCTCCCCGGCTGCGGGGCATTCCTGCTGCCTGGGAGCGTGGCAGAGGGGCCTGGAGCCACGCCGATGGGGCAGAGGAGGAGCCTTAGCGTCCCTGGGTGACTTCTGTGCCACCCCGGGAGCTGACACTCCTAGGTTGAAAACCTTCACAGCCGCAGCAGGAAGAACAGCGGCTGGCACTTAGGGAGCACTTGCCGTGTGCCAGGCTCCGTGCCAAGTGTTCTATGGGCTTTAGTTTGCGGAATCCTCGCCGTCTCCCTAGGAGATAGGTATCTCATACCCATTTTACAGATGTGGAAACTGAGGCTTAGAGAGGGTAAGGCACTGGCTCAAGGTCCCATACGTAAGAGGCAGGGGTGGGTTGGAGGCTGGCTCCACCTGCAACACACCCTCTGCCCAAGAGGGCATTTGGGGTGCTGATCGGGGCTTTGGGGGACAAAGGTGGACCCTGACCGCGCCTCCCGCCGCAGCTGAAGGAGCACCCGGAGAAGGGCGTGTACGTGAGGGGGCTGTCCATGCACACGGTGCACAGCGTGGCCCAGTGCGAGCGCATCATGGAGAGGGGCTGGAAGAACCGCTCGGTCGGCTACACCCTGATGAACAAGGACTCCTCGCGCTCCCACTCCATCTTCACCATCAGCATCGAGATCTACGCCGTGGGTGCGCGCAGCTGGAGGGGGTAGAGGGGGACTGGAGAGGGCGGTGGGGGCTGGGGACCGGAGCCGCTCCCAGTCGCCAAGGCTCTTCACCCCTCGGAGCCTCAAGGGCCCCCCTGACCCTGGGGAGGATGCTCAGGCTGCTGGAGGGAGCCCTGGAGCCCCTCCCGTGCTGGGACCCCTGCTCCCAGGGCAAACGGCAGCATCAGGAACAGCCACCGTCCTGGCGGCTGCGGAACTGGGCGCGTCCCCAGGGGCCTGCGCTCCGTGCCAGGCCTGCGTAGATCCTGGGAAACGCGCTGTCGGTTTGCTTCACCCCCAATAGCCAGTGTCATGGGAGCTCTGGCTAGTCTCGCTTTGTGGATGGGAGAAGTGAGGATCAGAGAGGTGCACGGCTCTGCCAAGGTCACACAGCAAGTGGGATGGGAACCAGGTCCCAGTCTCCAAAGCCAATGCTTTCTGCCATAAGAACACAACTCCCTGGTGACCCAGACACACACACACACACACACACACACACACACACCCCTTTGGCCTCACCGGCCAAATGCAGCAGCTGCTGTGAGAGCCATAGAAGCCTGCTGCTCAGAGACTAGTCTACCTCCCAGCCCCTGCTTCCTGGACTCAGACAGTCCTGGGGCTGAACCGGGCTCCACCACTGAGCAGCTGTGGGCTTTGGGCACGTTAAATGCCCTTGCTGAGCCTCAGTTTTCTCATCTGTAAGAGGGGCGCAGTCAGAGCACCTCCTGCATGGGGCTCCTATATGGCTGAAATGAGGCCCTCGGTGGGTGGGGAGCACTCGATGGGAGGGGAGCACTCGGTGGGAGGGGAGCACTCGGTGGGAGGGGAGCACTCGGTGGGTGGGGAGCACTCGGTGGGAAGGGAGCACTCGATGGGAGGGGAGCACTCGGTGGGAGGGGAGCACTCGGTGGGAGGGGAGCACTCGGTGGGAGGGGAGCACCCGGTGGGTGGGGAGCATTCGGTGGGAGGGGAGCACTCGGTGGGAGGGGAGCACTCTGTGGGCGGGGAGCACTCGGTGGGAGGGGAGCACTGGGAGGGAGGAGAGCACTCGGTGGGAGGGGAGCACTCGGTGGGTGGGGAGCACTCGGTGGGAGGGGTGCCTGACGGCCAGCGGCCCTCGTGAACGGGGGGAGGGTTGCCCACCAGAGGCCCTCACCTCTCCTCCGGGTCTGCCCGCAGACGAGCGGGGCAAGGACCACCTGCGGGCAGGCAAGCTGAACCTGGTGGACCTGGCGGGCAGCGAGCGGCAGTCCAAGACGGGCGCCACCGGGGAGCGGCTCAAGGAGGCCACCAAGATCAACCTGTCGCTGTCGGCGCTGGGCAACGTCATCTCGGCCCTGGTAGACGGGCGCTGCAAGCACATCCCCTACCGCGACTCGAAGCTGACGCGGCTGCTGCAGGACTCGCTGGGCGGCAACACCAAGACGCTGATGGTGGCCTGCCTGTCGCCCGCCGACAACAACTACGACGAGACCCTCAGCACGCTGCGCTACGCCAACCGCGCCAAGAACATCAAGAACAAGCCGCACATCAACGAGGACCCCAAGGACGCCCTGCTGCGCGAGTACCAGGATGAGATCAAGAGGCTCAAGGCCATCCTGGCCCAGCAGCTGGGCCCCGGCAACCTGTCAGGTGGGCGCCCAGGACGAGGGGGCAGGAGGGGCGGGGGACCCGGGAGAAGGGCTCTGGCCCTCGGTCTGCCTGCCTGCAGCTGAGCCGGAGAGACTGAGGCAGCGTCCCATGTCCTCAGCGTCATGGAACCTGGCTTTGGACCAGTGAGGGAGAGCCCTGGGTGGTGACAGCTGGAGACATCTGCTCTCTGATGCCCCAGGAAGAGGCCAGGGTGTCCATCCTGTCCCTTCAGCTGGGTGGCGGGGGGGTGGGGATGGTGAGGGGCGGCTCTGTCGCCGGCTCCCTGCCCCCCGTCTGTCCCCTGTCTCTGAGGCAGCAGCGTGATGCTGTGCTGCTCAGCAGCAGGGTGACTCACTCCCCGTCCAAACCGCACTCCCACTCGGCTCCTTGTGACGGCAGCATTCATGCCCAGCCATGGGCTGTCCTCTGCCGGTGGAAGTCATGCCTGGCAGGTCTGCAGGGTTCCTGCAGCTGCAGGCGCCAAGGTTTCTTCCCGTCTGAGAAGTCCCTGGGGAGGGAGCACAAAGGAGCCTGAGTCCATCCAGCTCCCCAGCCACCTTCCTCTCTCTCCATCTATTCTACACACCTCCATTCATCTACCCTTCCTCCCTCCCTTCCTTCCTTCCTCTCTCCCTTTCTTCCTTCCTTCTTTCCTTCCTTCCTTCCTTCCTTCCTTCCTTCCTTCCTTCCTTCCTTCCTTCCTTCCTTCCTTCCTTCCTTCCTTCCTTCCTTCCTTTCTAATTCCTTCCTTTCTTATTCCTTCCTTCCTTCCTTCCTTCCTTCCTTCCTTCCTTCCTTCCTTCCTTCCTTCCTTCCTTCTTCCTTTCTTATTCCTTCCTTCCTTCTTTCCTTCCTTTTATCTATCCTTCTACTTACCCACTCATCCACTCATCCACCCATCCACCCACCCACCCATCCAAAGTTCTCTGAGCACCCCGCCGTGTGGGCCTGTGCTGGGCACTGGGGACACAGGTGAATCGGATCCAGGCTCTACCTCATGGCACCTCCTCTCCTGGGAAGGGGGCTCCAGCAGACCATCAGTGGGGTAGGTGAGTGAGCTTCGTCTGTTTTCACTGCCGCACCCCCAGGCCTAGAGCAGGCGGTGCTCAAGAAATCTTTGCTAAATGACTGAGTACAGTACACTTTACACAGAGACACGCTTCAAATAAGCTGAAGACTTTGAAGCCCTTTAGAATGAGCCTGTGGGTGTCTTTGCGGAGTGCTGCTTACTTCCTGCCAACGGTGTGCATCTGGGTCACTGCCCCCCACTTCTGTCCCCCCAGCCCTGCTGGCTAATCAGGCGCCCCCAAACCCTGTCCAGACCGAGGAGAAGCCGTTGTCCCCGCCGGTGGTCCAGCCTAACACGGAGGCCGAGAAGCAGCTGATCCGGGAGGTGAGAGCCGGAGCAGGGGCAGAGTGGGCGGCGGGTGGGGCCAGCGGCAGACCACTTTTGAGTGATGTCCTTTCACCCCCCTCACCGTGGGGCCGGCACTCCAGCCTCCCTTTTGGAGTCACACAGAGATCTGGGGCCATGACTTGCCCAAGGTCACACAGCTAAGGGGAGTCAGAGCTGGGATTTGAACTCGGGTTCCAGACGCCAGAGTCCAGTGCATCCCACCTCAGTGGGAGAACAGGGAGGGGGGAGGGCTGTCTGCGGGAGCGCCGTCTCTCCTCACACACAGCAGGAATGGGCGGCTGGGGACTGGAGGAAGCCGAGAAGGCCTTCCTGGTAGTGCAAGTGCCTGTGCAAAGGTGCGAGGCCAGCTGGAAGGCGTTGTTCCCCGCAGCAGGTGCCAGGAAGCCTGGGCGGAGAGCAGGGCAGCGGGGGGTGGGCTGTGGGGAGTCCCTAGGGGAGTCCCCATGTGACTGGGGTAAGTGGGGTGTTAGCCTCCCAGAAAAAGCTGTCACTTGGGTTCTCGTCCCATATGTAGGCTCCTAGGATCCCAGAGCAGCAGGGCAGGTAACACCTGATTTGCAAAAACAAAGCTGATCCTTGGGGTTAGGGGGCGGGGGGCACTTAACACAGCCGGCCCCCAACTCCAGGCTCTGTCAGCTCCCGGGGGTTCCTGCCAGAGGGCACATTTGAGGACCCAATGTGGCAGGGTTTGGCATTTGACAGTCCCTTTAGGGCCCTGGCTTTTTCGTGGTGGAGAACCCAGTGCCAGCAGGATCAGCTGCAGGGCCTGGGCCGGGTCTTGTCTGTTGCTGGGCCTTTGCCCCTCAACTATGACCTCAGGTGGGACCAGCCCTGAGGCCTGGGAGCCTGGTCAGGCTGTGGGGGCCTGGGGCCCAGCCTCGGGGGTGAAGGGGGGAAACAGGTCAGTTAAGGCCTAGGGGCCTCAGTCCTGTGGACTGGAGTGCTGGGGAAATGGGCGGGCAGAGGCTGTTACTGCTCAGGGAGAGGCCCAGCTGGACACTCTCCTGGCCCTGTGAAGGTGTGGGAGCTCAGCGGCTCTGTCTGCCTGTTCCCCGCTGGGAGCCCCCAGGGGCAGGGTGAGGAGGCAGCCTTCAGCAGTGTGGAGCCCAAGCCCACAGAATGAGAGTGTCTGGAGGTTCAGGGTGTGTCTGGAATCACAGCAACAGATGGACGTTGGCCACAAAACAGTGTGGGTGGGAAGGGTTGGCCTGGGGGTGGGATGGAAGCTTCTTTCCCAAGGAAGACCCGTTGGGTGGGAAGGCACTGCCCCCTAGTGGTCACCAGGGAGAAGAGACGCTGTGCAGGCTCCAGGGTCCATCTACCCTGGGGGTTGGGGGTGGCTGCCTCCTCTCCAGGGGGCAGCCCAGTGGACGCTGGGTCAGAAGCCACCACCACCAAGTCTGCTTTCTGGCCCTAGCGTTCCTTCTGTGAGCCACACGTGGAAGCGCTGAGAGGGCCTGTCCCCTCGCCCTCCCGTTCCAGGACCAGTCAGGGCGCTCGGGGTTGGGGAGGTGGCCCCTGTGTGCAGTGAGTGGAGACGGTGCCGGGCCAGGAAGTGACTCAGCCACGAGCTGGAGGTGTGACTGTGGGCTTCAGTCTCCTAGCCTTAGGAGGCAGGATTTGAACTAGAAGATTCCTGGGGTCCATGCAACTTTTACAGTCCGCAAGTCCGGTTTTCACGGGCTCTGTGACCTTGGGCAGGCTGCGTACGCTCTCGAGCCTGCTTCTCATCTCTAGAACGGGCGCAACAGCAGCTTTCCTGCTGCTGTGAGGGGGGATGTGCAGGGGCCTTATTGCCAGGATTTGCACTCAGGCCCCCATTGAATCAGCGCTTTCTGAGCACCTTCTAGGCACGGGCCCTGCAGCTGGAGACGCACATGGCATAGGAAGAGGTTTATTGCCTTTGGTATTGGAAGTAACGGAGCAGGTTTTGTGAACTGCCGGGAAAGGTCTCGAGCCGAGGGAGAAGTCCGTGACGTAGGAGGGAGGTGGGGATCGACAGCGTGATGTCCTCGGTGGGGTGGCTCCGTGCCGGATGGCTGGTGCACGGTCACAGGAGAGGACGCCGAGCTTCGGGGCGGGCGGACCTGCAGGTGGGATGGAGGTGCGGGGCTGGGAAGGTGAGCAAGTTCGTGGCCAGTGGGCTTCAGAGAGCTCTGAAGTGTGAGACAGGGCGGGGCGGGTTCGGAGGGTTGGAGGGAGGAGAGGGAGGACTGGGTTGAGGACCCTGTGGTTAAAACCTGTCCGTTGATGGCAAAGAGGTGCTCGTGATATATATTGCTGTGGGGGAAATAGATGACAAACACACACATGCATTGGTAACCGTTAAACATGCACAGCGGAGAGTCCAGGGGGGCCTTCACCAGCCATTAATTATCCCAGAGTTGGGCGGGCAATTTGATTCAGTTCTTTTGGCTTACTTGTATTTTCTGGATCGCTTCGGGGGGGGGGAGGGGGAGGCATACTGTAGACTGTTTTTTTTTTTTTTAAATATATATTTTTATTGATTTTTTTTACAGAGATGAAGGGAAAGGGAGAGAGAGTTAGAAATATCGATCAGCTGCCTCCTGCACACCACACACTGGGGATGTGCCCGCACCAAGATGCATGCCCTTGACCAGAATCAAACCCGGGACCCTTCAGTCCACAGGCCAATGCTCCATCCACTGAGTAAACCAGTCAGGGCTGGAGGCTGGGTTTTGAAGTGGCTCTCACCCCCCCCCACCCCACCCCCAGGAGTACGAGGAGCGCCTGGCCCGGCTGCGGGCCGACTACAAGGTGGAGCAGGAGTCCAGGGCGCGGCTGGAGGAGGACATCACTGCCATGCGCAACTCGTACGACGTGAAGCTGTCCACGCTGGAGGAGAGCCTGCGCAAGGAGACAGGTGCGCTGCTCTGGGGGCGCGCTGGCTCGGGGCGGGGGGGGGGGGGGCGTCAGCCCGCTTCCCGCCCCGTTTCACTGCCTGGCGCTTGTAGAGCACTTGGTACGCACCAGGGCCGTGCTGTGTGCTCCTCACAGCAGCCACAGTGACTCTCATTTTATAAAGGAGGCAGCTGAGGCACAGAGAGGGTGAGTCACAGCAGGGAGGGTGAAGACAGGATTCGAACCCAGGCTCTCTGGCCCCAGAGCCAGTGTTCTCACCCACAGCACTTGGCCAGAGGCTGGGGCCCTCGCCCAAGGCCAATCCAGAGTGTAATGTATCCCCCATGTTTCATGAGTTTTTTACTGTCTCCTCTTTTCTAGTTTCTGCGTTTTTTACTGTCTCCTCTCATTTTTGAGTATCTGTTACCAACGCAGCCATAGCCCATAATAAGCATTCAATCATTAGTAAAAATTTGAACCATCCTGGAAGTTTTAGTCCATATATATATGGCCTGGTGCACGAAATTCATGCAGTGTTGGAGGGTGTCCCTTAGCCTGGCCTGCACCTGCTCACAGCCTGGGAGCCCTTAGGGGATGTCTGACTGTCGGCTTAGGCTAAGCTGGAAGTCGGACATCCTTAGCGCTGCCATGCGTGAAGGAGGTAGAGGCTCCTGCCACCGCTGCTGCACTCATCAGTCATGAACCTGTGGTGAGCATCTGACCCCTGGTGGTCAGTACATGTCATAGTGAGTTCTGCCATTCAATCAATTTGCATATTAGCCTTTTATTATATAGGATGTATATATATATTACATATATATATAATTATTGATTTCATAGAGGAAGGGAGGAGAGAGAGAGAGAAACATCAATGATGAGAGAGAATCATTGATCACCTGCCTTTTGCACATCCTACAATGGGGATCAAGCCCGCAACCCAGGCATGTGCCCTGACCAGGAATTGAACCGGTGGCCTTTTGGTTCCTGGGTCAATGCTCAACCGCTAAGCCACACCCAGCTGGGCGTTTTTGTCTTCTTTTTTTGACAGTTTAGATTGTTCCACTTCATCACTATCATCCAAACACCCGTGGCAGCCCAGGCTTCCTAGTCTCACCCAAGCATTGTAAAATCCATCCTGTAATGGTGACGATATTGGACATGTCATCAATACTGTTTATTGGGCACTGCTGTGTGCCAGGCCCTGGGGAAGGTCCTCAGGGAGGAGGGACTCACTGAGGTTTGGACAGGTTCAGGCCACTGAGCTAGGGAGCATTCAAAATGTCTCAGGGGAGCCAGACACACGCGCCACAGAGGCAGAAGGGATGTAGGGACGTGGTCTAGTGCCCAGAGCAGGGAGCGCCAAGGAGGCCTGTGTGGTCAGAGTCGGTCCAGGTTGGCAGGAAGATGCCACGCCCCATGCACACCCAGAGGAAGGGCGAGGCAGGTTCTAGCATTTTCTGCCCCTCAGAGAGCTCCCTCCCGTTCAGTTTGAATGCTGTTCTCTAAGTGATTTTAGTCGGTCTAACATTCATCCACAGTGTTCCTTGAACTCCCCCGGGTCTAGCACATCCATCCTGTGGACAAGGGCCTGGAGCTGGGCACTTCCCCGGGGACCCCTTAGGGATGTGGGGGTGAGACCTGTTCATCAGCTCTCACCCAGGGAGGCAGTAAGACCCACAGGCTTGCTTGTTAAAAGCAGTCCCAAGGCAGGCGGTACGAGCCCGGCACTTAACAGCTGGGGAGGGCAGAGGATGGAGAAAGCGCGGGCGGGCTGGTCAGGGAAGGCTTCCTGGAAGAGAGGGAAGGAGACAGGGTCTGAGTCCTGCTGTGGGGGAGAGGGCTGGGGCAGAGATGGGAACCGATAACGGGGGCCTGAGGGCTCTGACTCCTCGGGCGGTCTCTTGGAGGTGGTGGGTTTGGGCCAGCTTTCAGGAAAGGCCTCCTCATTCCAGCCTCTGAGGAGCTAAGGGAAGGTCTCGCTCTGCAGAGGCCGTCCTGAAGGCAGAGGTCCTCTTCAACGCTGAGGTCATGTCCAAGGCCGAGTTCGCCAACGTGTCCGAGTACACACCCGCCTTCCAGTACGAGAGGCCGGTGAAGCCCGAGACGCACTCCATAAGCGACGCTCCGCCCAGCGAGGGGGTGCCCAGGGCCGGGCTTCCTTCCCAGCGCGAGGACCCGCCCGGGGCCGAGACCGCCCAGTCCGAGAGCTCCCTGGGGTCCGATGAGGGGTCCGCCCCGGAGGAGCCCCCCGCGCCCGAGGCCCTCCCTGGGCTCCAGGAGCCCGCGAGCCTGGAGCTGCCCGCGGTGCCCACGGCGGAGGCCAAGGGCAAGCGCTTCCAGGATGAGCTCGGCCAGGAGGCCCTGCTGGCAGGGGAGCCCTTCCTGCAGGAGGAGGAGCCCCCGCTGGTGCCCCTGGAGCTGTTCCCGGGCCTGCACGACCCGTTCGCCGAGGTGGAGGCCAAGCTGGCCAGGCTCTCGTCCACGGCGGCCCTGGCCGACGCGCCCCCGGAGGAGGCACCCAAGGTCCCCGTGCAGGTAGCCGATGCCGTGCAGGACGCCAGGCGGGAGTTCAGCAGACAGAGCCCGGCTGGGAGGCGGGGTCCCTGGGCGCACAGGGATGGACGGCTCCAGCTGCGGCTCCAGCTCCGACCCCGCTCTGGGTGGGGGCTCCAGCCTGTGGCGGCTCGGGGCACTCCCGTCCAGGGGTCTGGGAGAGACGGGCTCTGTCATGCTCTGTAAATGGGCAGGGAAGTTGGGATCAAGATGCAAGGCTGTGCCCGGTGGGCACCTGCTCTGCTGATGAAGGGCCACCTGCACGGGAGTTGGCTGAGTTGCCATGGTTACACTGAGCTTCCAGGCCTGAGGGAGCTGGAGGAGGCCGTGGTCCCCCCTCGTGCTCTCTCGGGATCGGAGAGCAGGCTGGGCTGGGTCTGCGGGGCCCCAGCTACCATTTGGGGAGCATGCAGGGATCCGGCCCCACTGCTCCTTTTCCATCCTGCGGCCGTGTCAGTCCTCTCACTTTCCAACTTCTGTTTAAATGTTGAAATGTTTTTCTTTTTTATTTTCTTTTATTATTTTTTTTAACAAATATTTTATTGATTTTTTACATAGAGGAAGAGAAAGGGATAGAGAGTTAGAAACAAACACCGATGAGAGAGAATCATTGATCAGCTGCCTCTTGCACACCCCCTACTGGGGATGTGCCCGCAACCAAGGTACATGCCCTTGACCGGAATCGAACCCGGGACCTTTCGGTCCGCAGGCCGACGCTCTATCCACTGAGCCAAACCGGTTTTGGCTCCTTTTTTATTTTTTAAAGTATTTTTCTTTATTTCAAAGAGGAAGGGAGAGGGAGGGAGAGAGAGATAGAAACATCAATGATGAGATAATGTTGCAGCCCCCTACTGGGGATCAAGCTGGTAACCCGGACACATGCCCTTGACCGGAATTGAATCCAGGACCCTTCAGTCTGCAGGTTGACACTCTATCCACTGAGCCATGCCAGCGAGGGTGAAATGTCTTCCTTTTTTGTTTGTTTCTTTCTTTTCCTTGCCTTTTTTCCCCGTGTGTGTGTGTGTGTGTGTGCGTGTGTGTGTACACAGAGCACAGGCCTTTGAATCAGACAGAACTGGGTCGAGGTCCTGGCTGTGCCACTCAGTTGTGTGACCTTGAGCAGTTGCTCTCTGGGCCTAGTTTCTTCATCTGTAAAATGGGCTGATGAGTGCTTCCTGTGAGGCAGGGCAGGTAACGCTCCTGGAACACAGCAGGTGCCTGTCTCCGCTTCCTGCTTCCTCTCTTCCCTGTTCTCTCTCTTCATCTCATCACTCTTGTTCCCGCCCTTCTCTCCTCAGTGACAGGCAGGAAGAGGGGGTGATGGGGTGGGGAGCCGCAGGGGAGGCCGGGCGGGACAGCAGAGGCTGACTGTGGCCCCACCGTCCCTCCTTCTCTCCCACCCGCCCCCCTGCAAGCACCCCTCCCTGACAGATGTCCCTGAGCCCAGTGACTTGGGGGCTGAAGCTGAGGCAGAGGGCGGCCTCCTGCCCGAGACAGTGAGTACCCTGGGCTGGCGGGCTGTGCATTGGGAGGGCCCGGTCCCTCCTGTGACCCTCCACTGTCCCCTCCCTCCCCGGCCTCAATTTTTTCATTCATAATACAGGACAACCACCCCCGCCCACCCCACCCACCCCAGCTCATCAGAGGCGGCCATTGCAAAGCCATCACAAGCCGGAGGCTCTGTCAGACCTTTTACTAACGGTTAATAAGAGACCACTGTTAGCTGGGACTTTCCAGCTTCCCTCCACCTCGGAACCTTTGTCTGAGGCAGAGGGGCCTAGTGTGGTGGGGAGTGGGGCCTGGGGCGCTGTCAGGGACCCCACCGAGGGCCACTGCCGCTCTCAGACCCCACCCTTTTCTGCCTAAGAAAGCGCAGCCGGCCGCAGGGGGCGAGAGGAAGGCTTTAAACCTACTTACGTTTCTGGAGAGAGCAAGCTACCCGCCGACCTCCGGACCTGCGCGCTGGGTAGGAGCCGGCAGGTGGCTCGTTCTTAGCGGGCAGCAGAGGGGTAGCTGGGGCGCCCTCTGTGAGGTGACCCTGAGAGGGACCCGAGGAGGGACCAGGGGCCCGGGGAGAGCAGATGCCTGAGTCCTGTGGCTGCAAAGGGCTTGACTTTCTCAGCAACAGAAAGCGAGGCTGGAGGAACAGCAGGTGGACGGGGTGGTAGCGGGGAGGCAGGGGGTGGGCACAGAGGGCGCGGCAGGCCATGGAAGAAACTGGGGCCCCCTGAGGGGCTGTAACCGGAAAGGGCTGAGGTGAGTTTGTACCCACAGGGGAGAGGGAGGGAGCAGGTGCTGGGGGAATGGCAGCAGAGGGGGGCTTGGTAGCTGATTTCTGTGTAACTGGTGTCCCTCAGCCAGAGGTGACCCCCCATGTGAGGGCCACGATGCCCGGGGTGGGGGTGGGGGCAGATGAGGCCGCATGAGCCTCTGCCGGCTGCCTCCCACCTCACTGGGGTCTCTGTCTCTCAGGAGGCTGACCCGGGCCCCGAAGGCGACAAAGACAAGGCGTGGGCAGCGGAGCCCGGCGGGGGGCCCGAGGCCGAGGCGCTGCCCCTGCTGCCCACGGCAGGCCCGAGGAGGGACAGTGTGGGCGTGGAGGTGGCCTTGCTGACCGACGACCTGATGCCCATGGTGGACCAGCAGCAGGTGATCGCCCGGTAAGCGCCCAGCGGGGCGGGAAGGAGCTGTGCCCGGTGTGGGGTGCCCGAAGAGCCTTCCCGGCCCCCCGCCGGGTCTGCACATCCTACTGGCCCCGGAGCACGCCCCGGCCTGCGTGGATGCCGCTGCTCCGATGCCGACCATCAGTCCGGGCGGCGGGCGGTGGTTATGAGGCCGCGTCCCTGTGGAACAAGCAACGTCTGAAACGCTTTCCTGTGGCTCCTCACAGCCTGTTCTTTAAAGAGCAGAACTGGCCCTGGCCGGTATGGCTCAGTGGATAGAGTGTCCGCTGCCAACTGAAGGGTCCTGGGTTTGATTCCGGTCGAGGGCACATGCCCTGGTTTTGGGCTCGATCCCCAGTAGGGGGCGTGCATGAGGCGGCCGATCAGTGATTCTCTTATCATTGATGTCTCTCTCTCCTTCTCCCTTCCTCTCTGAAATCAATAAAATAGATTTTTTTAAAAAAATAAATAAATAAAGGGCAGACTTCTTAAACAAAATTGAACATTTTGGATATAAATATTTTTAAAATGTATTATACATGTCTCCGCCTGATGAAACATTGTGTGCTGGATGTTTCTTTTGCATTAAAAACTGAGGTGTGATGGACACATACGTGTGTCAGGCATGCCATGTACTGATTCCGTGTCTGTATCCATTGCGAGAAGTTTGCCAGCGTGAGTCTAGGTAACATCCGGCGTCACAGTTACCACAACGTCTTCCTGGTGAGGAGGATTCGTACAATTTATCTCTGAACAGCTGTCAGATGTGCGGACAGGGTTTTACCTCTGGTCTCTGTGCTGCACGGGGCATGCCAGGAGTTATTTTTAAAAATATATATTTTATTGATTTTTCACAGAGAGGAAGGGAGAGGGACAGACAGCTAGAAGCTGCCTCCTGGGCAACCCCTACTGGGGATGTGCCTGCAACCAAGACACAGCCCTTGAAATCGAACGTGGGACCTTTCAGTCCGCAGACCGACGCTCTATCCACTGAGCCAAACTGGTTTTGGCCCTAGGAGTAATTTATACCTGGAGGCTGGTACCTTTTGGCCACCTTCACCATTTGGCCAGCCCCACCCCAACCCTCCAGCCTGATGGGCTCTATGTCCAGGAGCGGGCTGGGATTGCTTCTTAGAGTCTGTGGGTCAGTAGGAGCAGCGGACTGGTCTCTGTCTGGCTGGCTGGCTGGCTGGCTGGCTGCACTCCATGTGCCCGCGGCCGCTGGCTGTGGGCATCTCCCAGAAGCCAGCTTTCTTCCCGTCGCCAGGCTGCTGCTGCCCATCAGCTCTGAGTGGCGGGCGGCGGGCAGTGAGCTCCGGGTCCAGGGGAGATCCTCATCCTTCCTGTGGGCACAGCCACTGCCCTGTAGAGTGAGGTCCGGTAGGAACCCTGGTTCTGACACTGAACCTGGGCCTCCCGCTCGGAGCCTCAGTGAGGCCTGTGGGAGCGGGGGTGGTGGGAGGGCCCTGTGGGTCCCGCTGGACGGCGGGTGCTCAGTGACCGCGGGTCCCGTCACGCGTGCTCTCCTCCCCCCCCCCCCCCCCGGCAGGCTGCAGCTGCTGGAGCAGCAGGTGGTCGGCGGGGAGCAGGCCAAGAACAAGGACCTGAAGGAGAAGCACAAGCGGCGGAAGCGCTACGCGGACGAGCGCCGGAAGCAGCTGGTGGCCGCGCTGCAGAAATCGGACGAGGACAGCGGGGAGTGGGTGCTGCTCAACGTGTATGACTCCATCCAGGAGGAGGTGCGGGCCAAGAGCAAGCTGCTGGAGAAGATGCAGAGGAAGGTGAGGCCCCGGGGGCGCCACTGCCCTGCCCCTCTGCCCCACGGCTCTAGGCGGCACTCATTCACCCTTTCCCAGCATGTTAGTGCCCACTGTGCCCTCCCTGCTGTGGAAGCAGCCACAGGGGCAGGGGTGTCTGCTGTCCTGGGGCTTACTTTTATATATATATATCCGAAACCGGTTTGGCTCAGTGGATAGAGAGTCAATCTGCAGACTGAAAGGTCCCAGGTTTGATTCTGGTCAAGGGCATGTACATTGGTTGTGGGCACATCCCCGGTGGGGGGTGTGCAGGAGGCAGCTGGTCGATGATTCTCTCTCATCAATGTTTCTGGCTATCCCTTTCCCTTCCTCTCTGTGAGAAATCAATAAAGTATATTTAAAAAAAACATATATATATATATATATATATATATATATATATATATATATTTCCCCCCCCCCATTGGTTTCAGAGAGGAAGGGAGAGGGAGAGAGAGAGAGAAACATCAATAATGAGAGAGAGTCATTGGCTGCCTCTTGCACATCCCGCAACCCGGGCATGTGCCCTTGACCAGGGATTGAACCATGACCTCCAGTTCATAGGTCTACACTCACCCTATCTGTGCCTGCCCGTCGAAGGGATTTTTATTCACATCGGGGTGTTGTGTTACGTTTTAATGTCTGGCTCTGTGCTCTAGTGCTATGGGGGGGGTGTTGTCCTCTGAAATGCACTGACTTACATTTCCTGCTTCTTGTGGTAGCTCTCTTCTGTTTATTTCATAACGACACAGAAGTTACACTCGAGAGAAATGAAAATATGTCCACACAAAAACTTGTACACTGACGTTCACAGCAGCATTATTCATTATAGCCCGAAACAAGCATACATGTAAGGACTGTGGCATAGTCACCCAACGGGATATTGGCATGAAAGGAAGTACTGATACATGACACAACATGGTGAGCCTTGAAAACACTATGTTTCGTGAGAGAAGCCAGACACAAAAGATGACAGAGTCCATGATTTCATTCATACAAAATGTCCAGAATAGCCGAGACTGGTTTGGCTCAGTGGTAGAGCGTCAGTCTGCGGACTGAAAGGTCCCGGGTTCAATTCCAGTCAAGGGCATGTACATTGGTTGCGGGCACATCCCCGTAAAGGGGTTTGCAAGAGGCAGCTGGTCAATGTTTCTCTCTCATTGACATTTCTAGCTCTCTATCTCTCTCCCTTCCTCTCTGTAAAAAAATCAATAAAATATATTAAAAAAAAAAAAAAAGAAAGAAATGTCCGGAATAAGCACATTTATAGACAGGAAGTGGACTAGCGGCTGCCTAGGGCTGGGGTTGGGAGAAGAGGGGAATGCCGGTGAGTGCGGGGTCTCTCTGGGTGATGAGTGCTCTCACACTGACCGGATAATGGCCGCACACATCTGAATACGCTGAAAGCCACTGAGTGAACGGAGCACTCGAAACGCCTGTTTCCAGCTTCGGGCGGCAGAGGTGGAGATCAAGGACCTGCAGTCGGAGTTTGAGCTCGAGAAGATCGACTACTTGGCCACCATCCGCCGGCAGGAACGGGACTTCCTGTTCTTCCAGCAGCTGCTGGAGCTGGTGCAGCCGCTCATCCGCCGGGACTGCAACTACAGCAACCTGGAGCGGGTCAGGCGCGAGTCCTGCTGGGACGAGGACAGCGGCCTCTGGAAGATCCCGGAGCCCGCGGTCATAAAAACCAGCCTCCCAGTAGGTCAGGAGCCTGGCTGGCCCGCGGCGCCCCTCCCCACCTCCACACTCTGCTCCCCTGCAGACCGACCGGGAGCCCCGGGCCTGTCCTGCCGGCTGTGGGTGAAGCAGACCCGGGACCCCGAGATTCCAAACATGGGGGGCCTGAGAGGAGGGTGTGTGCTGAGTCAGACAGGAGTGGGCCGGCTCCATCGCTCCCTGTGTGACCTCCTGGGGACTCAGTGTCCTCCTCTGTGAAATGGGGGTTAATAACAGCACCTTCAGGGTGCGGGTGGCTTAACATGTGTTAATACACGTAAAGCCCTCAGAGCCACGCCAGGCACATCTTAAATGTGGGGTGCCCTGCAGCAGTAGCATCGTGATCCTGTCATTTCACCCCACAACCATCTGTGGAGGACAAGGCCCACGGCACTGGTGTGCAGGAGGAAGTGGGATCTCGGAGCATGCGTGCCTGTCAGTCACGGCATGAGGGGCAGGGCCGGGGGTGCCCACGAGCTGTCCCCTGCAGGCCTGGCTCCACCTCTGCCTTTGCACTGACCTCTGTGACCTTAAGACGGCCAGTGCCTCCTGGGCTTGGCGCTCTCATCTTCACAACGAAGGGTGGGCCAGATGGTCTTCAAGGTGCCTCCTCCTCCATCGAGTACCAGGGTCTGGCCCGACTGACAGGCTCTTTCTGCAGCCACATGGCTGGCTCTGCCACGCAGACAGCAGTAGCAGTAGCATCCCACAAGGCCCTGCCCCTCTCTCCCCCATCACAGTGTCGTCCACTGACACCATCTCTGCTGAGACTCCAGGCAGCTGCAGCTTTCCTCCCGCCCCCACCAGCCTGCCATCTTGCCTGGAAGCAGGGGGGGTGGCGTCTTTGGGGTCTGAGCCCCCCTGTTGTGTTCCCCAGAGGCCCCTTTGCTTGGACCGGGAAGTGCTCCCTTGGCCCCAAGCCTGAGCCAGGACTAACACCCCCCCCCCCCAGCCCACCCTGCCCTTCTGCCCCACAGCGAGCAGCAGGCACTTCAGCTTTTGTTTTCTCGTAGCAGTTTCAACAGGGCTGCAGAGCAAACCGGCCCGCAAAACCTCCGCAGTGGAGAGCGGCGAGCTAGGCCTGGTAAGTCCCCGGAGAGGGAGGGGGACTGAGGGAGCTGGGCTTCCACTTCCGTCCGCCCTGAGGATGCAAGCACGGGGCTGGGCCTGGGTCCTTCCTGTGTGCCTGCTGGCACCTAGACCTTCATGCTGGCCCTCATTCAAAGCCAAAGCCACGCATGGTCATAGCTGCCAGCAGGGAGGGGGTGCTTCATGTCGGCCCAGCTGCCGGGGAAGCTCAGAAGCATCACCTCGACAGTTTGTCAGCCGTACAGTTAGGTTCCCTGGGCCCTGGCTGGTCTAAAGCTCTGATTGGCTGCTTTTGATGGCTTAATCGTATGAAAAAGGGCAAGATGTTCCTGAAAAACACACATACAACATCCTTACCCTGGGACCACGAAGGGGTTATGTCAGTCAGAATGCTTTTACTTCCAGTGGTAGCTGCCCAAAGCAAACAATCACAGGCAAAAGGGGGAATGGCTGGTGCATGCTAAGAGGACCAGTTTCAGGCATGGCTGGATCTAGGGGCTCAGTCAGTCAGGCTTCCCTCTGTATTCCAGCTTTGGACTCAGGCAGGCTTTCTCCAAGCGAGAAAGGCAGGAAAGATGGCTGCTGGCAATTAGTGACCCAACAGAGAGACGGTCTCTTAGAGCGTCCTCACACCAATGCTTGTGCAGATTCTGATCTGTTCTGCTGGGCCTGGGCCTGCTCTTGGACCAATGACTATGTCCAGAACATAGAGCTCTGTGGTTGGTCCAGTGTGGGTCACATGTCCAGCTGTGTAGCTAGGAGTAGGTGGGTGGGAGTGGTGGTATTAGGGCACTCTGAATGATCACCCCACTAGGACGATGTGTGTGTGGGGGGAGGGTAGGTCCCTGAAGGAAGAGATTCAGGGAGAAAAAAAGTTCACGAGAGTGAAAAACAGTAGTTCTTGGTGCTAAGAAGATTGGGACCCCGATTCCAATGATCATAAACGTGCCCCTGAGCTGAGCACTTATTGCCTCTTCTGTGGTGTGCCATGATGGGCTTGGGTGTGTTGTGTTGTCCTGGCCCTGCTGGAGCTGGCACAGTGCCCTCTGTTGAGGCCTGCAGGAGGGAGTGAGGCACTTCCCGTTCCCAAGGAAGGGGTGGAGGTATGATCCCACCCCAGGAGGCCGGGTCTGTAGCGGATACACCGGGCAGTGGGGTGGGGAAGCCCCGCCCACCAGGCTTGCGGAGCTGCTGAGCCCTGGGTGAGAGCCCACGTGAGAGCTGCACAAATAAGGGGTCTTAACCCGTGAGGGTTTGGGATCTCAGCAGGAAGAAGACCGCTACAAGCTGATGCTCAGTCGGAGTGACAGTGAAAATATCGCCAGTAACTACTTCCGGCCGAAGCGGGCCAGCCAGATCCTCAGCACAGACCCCATGAAGAGGCTCAGTGAGTGCCCGCCCACCTCCCACCCTCTGGCCTCTTCCCAAGAGCCATCGGCCCTCTGCCCACTGGGAGGGGCGTGATGGGGGGATGGGGTCAGACAGGCCTGGTCCTCAGCCATTCAATGGGGGGGAGACAGGTAAAATGAAACGGGGAGACGGCCCAGCCCAGGGCCTGGCACGTAGTAGGTGCTCAATGCACAGTCTCCCTTTCCTCCTGGAGGAGATGTGCTATTTGACTCATCCTCCTCGCCTGGCAGGCACGAGCCCCCCCAACACTGGCCAGGGCCTGGCGTGGGGCCACAGGCCGCTGGTCAGTGACCCGCTCCCTCAGCTGCCAGGACACTGGCTTTCCCCTGAGCCAAGGGGGCAGACAGGGTCACAAGAGCCAAACACTTTCAGAAACAAGAATTGAAAATCACTTCATTCTTCTGCTTTTAAAGACTACAGGACTTCCAGTAAAATACCCATGAAAAGCACATCTCCGTCCTATACTGAGGTTATATAAGAGACAACGTGGGTGGAGTTGAGGAATAAGGAAAGAAAGGTTGGTCAGGAAATAAACTAACAGCAGCTGAGAACCTGGCACTGTGCCCATGCGGCAGATGGGGAAACTGAGGCCCAGAGAGGCTCAGCCGGGCATCTCTGACTGAGCTCAGGGTGGCTGCAAGGGATGTCTCTGGCCGGCTGCTTTTGATAGCTTAACTTTGTAAAAAAGGGAATGAGGGAATGCTGTTCCTGAAACACACACACACACACACACACACACACAAAAACCAAAAAAACAAAAAAACAACTATTCTTAACCTAGGACTGTGGTGGGCAAACTGCGGCTCGCGAGTCTTTGATGGCCCCTTGAGTGTGGCTCTTCCACAAAATACCACGGCCTGGGCGAGTCTATGTTGAACAAGTGGCATTAGAAGTTTAAGTTTAAAACATTTGTCTCCAAAAAAATTTCAATTGTTGTCCTGTTGATATTTGGCTCTGCTGGCTAATGAGTTTGCCGACCACTGGCCTAGGATCACTGAGGGTTTTTTTTCCAAGCGAGGCCGCCCTTCAGGAAGTGGGAGGCTGGGCTTTGAACCCAGGCTTGTCTGGCTCGAGATCCAAGGCTGTGTCCCAGCCCAGACCCTTTGGACGCAGACGCAGTGCTGGGTCTGAGGCCCCGACTAAGAACTTGGGGTCCTAGCAGTGGGACCAGGGCTCTAGCCGGGCGGGGCTGCACCCACACCCATGCTGTCTGTCCACACCTGCACCCCGGCTCACCGGCGCCCTCGTGCCTCTCCTCTGCAGCACATCACAGCTCGCCGCCCGGCCTCATCTCCCCCCTCGGCAACAACTCTGCCATCCCGCCCGCCCAGGCCCCCGAGATGCCCCAGCCGCGGCCCTTCCGCCTCGAGTCCCTGGACATCCCCTTCGCCAAGGCCAGGCGCAGGAAGAGCAGAAGCAGCTTTGGCGGCGAGCCTCTGTGACACGCTGCCTGCTGGGGGCTCCTGTGACTGCCAGGCCCCCCGGGCAGCCCCAGCCGGGCCTCCTCCCTCCCGCCCCCACCATGACGGGGGGGCGCTTGAGGGGGCCCTCGCCCTGCAGGGCGAATTCCCCTCCCAGTTCCCCAGAAAGCCCGTGTCTGCCCGGCGGCGGCGGGAGCCCTCAGAGCTGGACCCTCCTGGGGAAGGCCCCCCCAGCTCCCAGGGCCATGTCAGTATTGCCAGCTACTCGCCTGCCACGGAGCCGCCACCTGTGCCCCCCGCCTGTGCCCACCGGTGCTGTTCGGAGCCTCCACGGCCTCTGCCTCCAGGCCTTCAGCAGCAGCCCGGGCCGTGTGGTCAGCCACCTCCCCTGGACCGAGCTCAGCACGTCGGTGCTGGAAAACTGTGTCTCCGTCCAGCTGGCCCACTTCCTGGGGAAGCCCCGCAGGACGGGTATGGGAGGCCTGAGCACCTGCCCCCGATGCCCGCTGCTGCCCGCTGCTCTGTGGCCCCAGGGGAGCGCTCCACATGAAGCTGCCCCAATAAACTGTCTTTCACCCTCAAGTCCCTTCTCCGGTTCTCTGGCAGCGGCACTGGGCCCCGCCCTCCTGGCAGCTCTTCCTGGGCAAAGGGTCTTCAGTAGCCGAGGCCTGAGGCCTGAGGACAAACAGGCCCCAGAGTTCCCGCGAGGCCTGCAGGGGTGCCCTCCCGCGCTCGTTTCTGGGGAAGCATCTGAGCTGTCAGACTCTCAAAAGACCTGCGGTCCGGGAGGCCCAGGCTGGGTCTGCCCTCAGGGGCTGTGCTGGAACCGGGTGCCCTGATATGGCCAGAAACGAATCCAGGCCATCCCTGCAACCGAGGCCACACACCCTACCCTCGTTCCTCATAGCCCAGCCTGCCTCCTGGGAGGGGCTCATACTCTTGAGGGAGGAGGTTTGGCCTTTGGTGCTGTCCTGAGCCTCCGTTCACTCAGTCTCATCTGTGAAACGGGGATACACACCCACCTCCTAGAGTTCACGTGAAGGTAAAATGAGGTAGCTTCTAAGTTCCGGTGCACAGCAGGTGCTCCTGATCAGCCCATCCCTCCCCCTCCTCCTCTATGTTAGTTACTGTGGCTCACACTGGGCCAGGGAGCTCACATCTGGAGAAGCTGGGGTGGGTGGAGGGTGCTCAGGTACCTACGGAGGCGGGCTGCAGGTGCACTTTGAATAAGAGGCAGCCACGTCTTCATGGGAACAAAGCCCGCTTGGTGAAGGGAGCAGCAGCAGGGAGTGGGGGCTGGGGGCGGGGGGCTCCCATAAAGGATGGAGACACTCTGGGGAGGCTTTAGATGGGAATGTGGGGAGGGAGAGGGAGCTGCGTGAGCAAAAGGCGGGACATGGGGAAGCTGGGGGTATGTTGGAGGTCGGAGGAGACCGGTTCCAGGTAAGCCCTGGGTACGGGCTAAGAGGAGCACGGGGCTGCCGACCTGAGAGTGAAGCGCCTTTGGGTGTCTGTGGGCTGTGGCGCACTCCTAAGCAGCGGTTTGAGTTAGAGGTGGACTGAAGTCTTGGAGCTGCTTGTGGTAGCGTTTAGTTAGATCTGTGATGGCCTGAGGCAGGGGGGAGGCGAGCCCTGCCCCTGGTCCATGTAGAAGGGGTGGGAGCCAACATTGCTGTGAGGTTGCTCAGCCTCGCCCTGCACTGGTGCCTTAACCTGCTCTAGTCCCAAGAGCCCAGGCCTGTTCCGAAGGTGCACAGATGGGTAGGCGAGCTGCCTCTGGCCATTTTATTTCCAGCCTAGAACCAGGTAAAAGGGATAGTGAGGGACAGAGCTCGGGAATGAGCCCAATTAAAGCTTTTTTTTTTTTTTAATTGATATATTGATTTTTTACAGAGAGGAAGAGAGAGGGATAGTGAGTTAGAAACATTGAGAATCAGCGACAGCTGCCTCCTGCACACCCCTACTGGGATGTGCCTGCAACCAAGGGACATGCCTCTGACCGGAATCAAACCCGGGACCTTTCGGTCCGCAGGCTGATACTCTATCCACTGAGTCAAACCGGTTTTGGCCAATTAGAGCTTTTTTTGTCGGAGGCTGGTCCACCGCCCTTCCGCTGCCTGCAGCGTGGGCCACCAGGCAGGACAGGGTAGGCCACGCCAAGGACCCTGGGCCCGCCAGCCGCGGGAGTCTAACGTGTCCCGTTCCCTGGTCTCATTTTCCCAATCTCTTCCTCTCGGAGATGGTTGGTCCCAGTCCGAGGCTGTGCTGGACCAGAGAGAGACGAGAAGGTGCTCCAGGGAGGACACGGTCCAGACCACGCGAGGCCGCACCACTCAGACTAAGAGTCCCGCCGATTGGCCCGGGCTGCAGAGCTGTCTCTCTAGGATTGGGCCATTTGCTTAAGGGGGCGGAGCCTCGCGCCCCCTCAGCCAATAGGACCTAGAGGTCCCGCCTACACCCGAGGCACTTCCGGTGGTGCTCCTGGCTCGGTTCCTATCATCCGAACCGCGGCTCCCGGCGCCCGGCCCCGGCGTACGCAGATCACTTCCGGGTGGAACTCCAGGGTCCCGAGCCGCGATTGGCTAGATGGGCCACTTCCGGTGGCCAGGTGCCCCGGTTCTTGGGCAGGAGCAGAAAGATGGAACTTGGCGCCGGCGCCCGCGTTTGGTCCCTCTCGTGGCTGCTGCTGCTCCTCCCCTCGCTCGGCTTGGTCGGCGCCAGCGGTCCCCGCACCCTAGTGCTGCTGGACAACCTCAACGTGCGGGAGACTCATTCGCTTTTCTTCCGGAGTCTGAAGGGTGAGACGGGGTTCGAGGGGGCGGCGGGTGAAAGCCTGAGCTTGGAAAGGTCCCCCAGCCCGAGGGCAACGGCCATCCTCCCTCGCACTCGTTTTGCACGAGCGGGCCGCCCAGGTCTGGCCTGGCGCTGGGGGGTGCGGGGAGGGCTGTCGGGGTCTCAGCAGCGGTGGTTTCCCTCAGCCTCATCGCCTCTTTTCTTCTCCTGCAGATCGGGGCTTTGAACTCACATTTAAGACCGCAGATGACCCCAGCCTGTCTCTCATTAAGTACGGAGAGTTCCTCTATGACAACCTCATCGTCTTCTCCCCCTCGGTAGAAGGTAAGGGCTGCGCGTCACCCCCACAACCGGGATGGTAGGTTCAGGACCGATCTGTCGCTTCGTTCTGGATCTTGGGGCATGTTCTGGGTCACTAGCCCTGGCCACAGCTGCTGCCAGTGAAGAGGAACGTGTTAACTTCGATCCTGGGCCAATCAGGGCTCAGCTCCTTAAAAGACACAGCTGAGGGTTGTAGGGTCAGGTGTTGGAGCCTGGGCCCTGCTAGTCTGAGAAGTGGCTGATAGGAAAGATGGGGAACCCCTCTAGCGGGGCTGGCCTGGGTGGAAGGAGGAGATGGCATGCTGTTAACAGGGCGTGCTGTGCTGTAAAGACGCTGTGGTAGTTGAACTTGTGGATTCATAGTTCTCAGGCTGGAAAAGAGCTTGGCAATGATCTAGCCTGGCTCCCTGTGTGAGGCTGGATGGATAGGTCTAGACAGAATGAATATCTTTACTTCAGTGTTCCTGTGACAGAGAGCTTACGTGGCAGGCAGCTCCATCACTGGACAACTCCGTTGCGTTCTTATATTAAATTGGAATTTGCCTCCTACTTCCTACTTTATTTATTTATTTTTTGTTGGGGCGGGGGAGGCGGGGTTTCTTATACTCCTCAGGGCCTCAGAGAGGAGGGCTAATGCTTTGATTGCTGGCACAGCCTTCACGTAATCAGAGCTGGTTCATCGGATTCTTCTCCAGACGAAATACCCCAGTTCCTTTCCTTTGGCTGTTTCTCTTTGCCGCGCCTTTTGGGGAGCATCCAGTCATTCTCTTCTTTAGTGGCTTCCATTTACCTTTTCTCCGAGGGCTCTGGGTGTCCCTGTCTGGGGTAAGACAGGACTGCCGTTTCTTCCTTCAGCTGAAGAAGCTCAGGAAGTCTTTCATTTCACTGGCATCTACTTTATTCTCTGTAGTGTCTGTGAGGTTGGATTCAGCGAGATCCCTGAAGGATTTTTCTCTGGGCTCCCAGCAGTTACCATGATTGCCCCACCTCCCCTGCAGAATGTGCCTTTGGTGTTGGCTTTCCGCAGGCAAGCGTAGTTGGGTGGAAGTGAGCCCAGGTTGTACAAATGAAAATCTTCAGGTTGCTGGGGGCGGGGGGCAGGGTAGGTGAGTGGAGCCTTCAGCTGGTTACTTGGCGTTTGCCCAGTTTCTTCTGTGTCTGGAGCTCTGAGAGAGGTCCTCACAGCGACAGAGAGCCTGCCCCTGAGGAGTTCTTTCAGTCCATCTTTGGGGCGGTGAGAATAAGGACCTGAAATGAGATGCCAAACCCTGTGTGTGGTGTACACCGGGGAGCACAGGAACCGTCTGCGTTGTGCCCAGGAGGCAGAGTGGGAGTGCCGCTGAGAAGGAGGGAGACGGTGGGTGAGACGGGAGAAGGTGGAGAAATGGGTGGGAGAAGGTAGGTGTCAGAGAGCCTAACAGTGTTTCCCAAGTGTTAGTCAACTTCCCGTACCTCCTTCATATTTACCATGTGCCATATCACCTGTGCTAACAGTGTTTTTCTTTAAACTGACTTTTTACAAACTTTAAAAGGAACCCAGTAATGAGCCCAGTATCGCCACGAAAATGGAATTGGTGTCACCCCGGCCTTCGGGAGGAGGCAGCTATAAATAGGTCACCTGCGGTGCTGCGGTCTAATGGATTCTGTTCCCTGCGAAGGCTTTGAGCCTGAGGCGTCCTCTTACAAGAGGAGATGAGAAAGTGAGGGACGTGTTAAAGCTCAGAATCAGACTGAGACACTCTGACAGGAACTCTGTCTCTCTCTCTCTGAGATTTGACGTTATTTAAAGCTCTGCCCCAGAATGGGTCCCACCCTTTGGGAAACATGGCCGCAGTCCTCCGGGCACTCCTGGGGGGAGGCTTGTATCTGCTGGTGGGGGTCAGGGTAAGGGTTTGGTCCCTGCTCCAGGGGCCCTTCTGAGGCCCTGGACTACCGTTAGCCCTCGGGCACTGGCCTGGCTTCCGCTGCCGAGTTCAGTGGTTCCTTGCCCTCTCTGGATCAGGAAGCTTCCAAGTTGAATTCAGTAAAGTAATGACTACAGAAGATGGTTCCTCTGTACCCCAAAACCAGGGTCCCTTTTTGTAGGTAGGGAAATGGGCTTAGAAAGGTGAAGGGATGCCTAGATCTAAGCCCAGGTGTCTCCATTTCAGCAGTGGCACTCGACATTTTGAACTGGATGATTCTTCATTCAGAGGGCTGTGCTGTGTACTACAGGATGTGTAGCAGCATCCTGGTCCCTCTACCACTAGATGGCAGTACACACGCCCCTGGTGACAACCAGAAATGTCCTAAAGCGTGTCCCTAAGGGACAACTGTACTGGAAGGAGCTGTTCCTGATTGTCTGAGGCTGATGGCCTCTGGAGGAGAGTGGATGATGGCTCTGTAAATGTGGTTCCCACATACATGTTCCTTCTGAGCCTGGAGGAAAAGGAAGGCGCTCTGTTTTTGTTATTTACGTGAAAATTACCAAATTAAAGAGGGCCGTTCTCATATCTGAATATCTTTACAGCTAGTTTTGGATGCTTATGGCACACATCTGACCAAATTGACCAAAAAAGGATAATCTCACAATTACGTTGGAAATTAATGACCCTTTTTAGTGACCACTTTTTGTTTTTTTAAGCACAGTATATGAAGTGGCTCTGTTATGGCTACAGTGAATATAAACCTGTAGGATTTCAAGTAAAAACTCTATTCCTGTTGTGCAAATGAGTACTAGTCTCAGTGATAGACAGCATCATCCTTAAAGTCAAAAGTGCTCTTTCTCAGACAACTTCAGACGGAAATGAAGGTGATGGGCTCTTGCAAACCATGTTAGGTGACCCCCAGAGTGGCTCTAAAGGTGCAGGCGATGAGTTTGAATGAAGTTGTTTTGTGGAATGGGAAAATGCAGCATTTCTAAACAAGTATTTTAGATAGAGGCCTGGTGCATGAAATGAGTGCGGTGGGGGTGGGGGCCCTCAGCCCAGCCTGTGCCCTCTTGCAGTCTGGGACCCCTCAGGGGACATCCCTCTTACAGACTGGGACTCTTCGCTCCTTACCACCTGCCTGTCCGCTGCTCCTTAGCGCTGCCACGGAGGCGGAAGAGGCTTTTGCCACCACCACTGCCCCCACCAGCCAAGAGCCCGGCTTCTGGCTGAGTGGCACCCCCTGTGTGGGAGTGCACTGATCACCAGGGGGCAGCTCCTGCATTGAGCATCTGCCCCCTGGTGGTCAGTGCTCATCATAGCACTGGTTTTCTGATCAGTTGGCCGTGATGGTCGCTTAGCCTTTTATTATATAGGCTAGAGGCTCGGTGCACAAAATTCATGCACAGGTAGGGTCCCAAGGCCTGGCCAGCAATTAGGACCAGTCGGGGCCTTCCAGCTGCCTACAGGGCTTTCTTTGTTCTGCGCTGCCCCCAGGTGGTCAGCACAGGTCATAGTGAGTGGTCCAACTCCTGGTTGATCTAACTCCCGAAGGGACAATTTGCATGTTAACCTTTTATTATATAGGATTATATAGGTTAGAGGCCCGGTGCACGAAATTCATGCAAAGGGCTTGGCCCCCGCTGCAGTAGCAGCTGCCTCTGCCGCCATCTGCCGTGGTTTTTATCCAAAAAGTCATCTGGTCTAATTAGCATATTATGCTTTTATTATTATACGTGTAACTTGAAGAATGTATAAATAACTTGACAACTGTAATTGTTGGGTGTTTGACTATTTAATTTATACTTGTAAAAGTTGAATTCAAGCCATTAGTTTTGGATCATCACATTGGGAAAAATGGGAGAACTGCCTTGTATCAGGGCATATATGGTAAACATTCCTCTTGTGTTGGGCCTCCAGAGGGCAATATTCTGTTATTGCTGGTGGTCTGCTCCCTTCCCTTCCTCCCCATCTCCCTAACCCCCTCCCATGTCAGAGGAGCAATGAGAGGAACCTTCTGGATCACTGAGTCTGGCACTTTTTCAGATTTTGGAGGCAACATCAACGTGGAGACCATCAGTACCTTTATTGACGGTGGAGGCAGTGTCCTGGTAGCTGCCAGCTCAGACATTGGTAGGTCTGATCTCAGAAATGCTTCCCCCATTTCTCCCGGAAGCTTGGAGAGCTTTACAGATGGAAGCTGCCAGATTGTCCGTCACTGGGTGGTCCTTCCCAGGGAGTGAGGGAGGGAACTACAGAGCCATCTAGTCCCTCTTAGCCTGTGACCAGAACCAATGAGAGGCAGGCCCTTTTAAAGGCTGGGAACCGAAAAAAAAAAAAATAAAAAATAAAAAAAAATAAAGGCTGGGAACCGGTTTTCTCTGTTTTTGTTCCCTTCCCCCCCCCCCCCCCTTGTTTTGTGGCGACTCTTTCCTTGAAAAGAGGACACATGCAGGGAGAGCCTAATTGGGTAGATCACAAAGCATTGGACAGATTTTTGTTTTGTTTACTATTTTGGAAAGTTTTAAAGATACTTAGAAGTAGAAAGAACCATGAATAACACCTGGCCGATCTGGCTTCACCTTTTTCAGAATTGACAGCTTTTGAGAACCACATACGGGGGACGAGGGAGGGGAGGCTGGTGAAGTGATGATGAGGAAGAGAGAAGCCTTGTAAGCCGGGGCTCGTTCAGGTCAGGTTCGTGGAGGTGGCGCTCTGCTTCAAAGGGGTCTTGCGCGGAGCCACGGGCACCGTGTGTTTGGAGGGAGAAGGCCGAGTGTGTGTTGTAGGTTTTTACCAGGCTGTTGCCTAGGCATCCAGCTGGTGGTGCTGCAGGGCCCTGGGTTGATTGGGAGAGTGGATCATAAGGATTCCAGGGCAAGTGACATAGCTTGGCCCGGGCCCACCCCTAAGGGCTCAGCGAGGCATCTCTTGGGTCTGTGCAGGTGACCCTCTTCGCGAGCTGGGGAGTGAGTGTGGGATTGAGTTCGATGAGGAGAAGACAGCTGTCATTGACCATCACAACTATGACATCTCAGACCCTGGCCAGGTAATCAGACCATCACCTTCTAGGTTTAGCCCATGTGGTAACCGTGCGGAGTTGGGAGGGACCCCTGGCCGGGGGGTGGGCACCGCTCCCTGACCACCGGCCTCCCTCTGCTGCTGCAGCACACGCTCATCGTGGCCGACACCGAGAACCTGCTGAAGGCCCCGACCATCGTTGGGAAATCGTCTCTAAACCCCATCCTCTTCCGAGGTGTTGGGTGAGTGAGGAGAGGCCAGCAGGAACCTGGGGAGAGGGGTCCCTTTGTTTGGTCAGGAAACCTACCAGCCTTGTGATCATTTGAGCATATTCCTTCCTCCAGAAGGTGCAGGTGGGACTAAGTCATAATGTAAGAGTCAAAACTTCACAGTCACAGCAAGAGGAGAGCCAGGTGTTTGCCTGTTACGGAAGGAGGACTCACTCCTGCGGAGACGGCCCTGAGGGAGCCCCAGGGCCTCGGGGCGCAGTTTGGGGTCTGAGTTGGGTGGTTCTCTTTTCCTTCCCAGGATGGTGGCCGATCCTGACAATCCTTTGGTGTTGGACATCCTGACAGGCTCTTCCACCTCCTACTCCTTCTTCCCAGATAAACCCATCACCCAGGTGAGGGGCCTTTGCAGACTTGAGACCCCATCTGGGCCTGATGGCAAAGTGCTTTTTTTTTTAAAAATATATTTTATTGATTTTTGTACAGAAAGGAAGGGAGATAGATAGTTAGAAACATCAATGGAGAGAATCATCGATCAGCTGCCTCTTGGACACCCCCCACTGGGGATGTGCCCGCAACCAAGGTACATGCCCTTGACCGAATCGAACCTGAGACCTTTCAGTCCGCAGACCGACGCTCTACCACTGAGCCAAACCGGCTTCGGCGGCAAAGCGCTTTTTATTGAAGAGGAGAACTAGGCAGGGAGGCACACGCTGCCAGGCTGGTGAAACGAGATGGGGGAGGGGGAGTGGGCAGTGGTGTCTCAGGCTGGGCCCGGGTTGTTCAGGTCTAGCCTGCAGTCCTCCTGCGCCAGGGGCCCAGGGGCTGTCCTTGGCCCTGGCTTTGGGGATGACGGCCTCGTGTTGCTCCTAGTACCCCCACGCGGTGGGGAAGAACACCCTCCTGATTGCCGGGCTCCAGGCCAGGAACAACGCCCGGGTCATCTTCAGCGGCTCCCTCGACTTCTTCAGCGACGCCTTCTTCAACTCGGCGGTGCAGAAGGCCATGCCCGGCGCCCAGAGGTAGATGCCAGGGGACTGAGGCCTGTGGCTGGGTGATGGGGCCTGTGCAGAGGGGAGGACTCTGACGGGGAGGAAGAAGCCTTTTGGCTAAAAGTGTCAGAGGCTAAGTATCTGTAGGTGCGTTAACTTAAGGACTTCTTTGTTGCTATGTTGGTAGTGGGGGCACTCCAAGCTAGTTCTGCCTCTGGAGCACTTTGAAAATGGAGTACTCACTGTACAGGTGACACCCAAGCAGCGCCACCTCCGCCTTTTCATGTCTGTGTTCCCACTGGGAAGCAGCGGTTCTGGTGCTCCAGCCTCTGCCCTTTCCTCCTGCAGGTATTCGCAGACAGGCAACTATGAGCTAGCTCTGGCCCTCTCCCGCTGGGTGTTCAAGGAGGAGGGTGTCCTCCGTGTGGGGCCTGTGTCCCACCATCGGGTGGGCGAGACGGCCCCGCCCAATGCCTACACTGTCACCGACCTTGTGGTAAGAGCTTGGAGGGGGAGCGGGGGGCGCCATAGGTTTTGGCCAGGTTGGCCCAGCTCAAAAGCATTTATGCAACACTTCTGTTGGGCCTAAATGTGGATGGCCGCGTTAACCTCTGCCCTGAAGAAAGTCAGTTTTGAGATCTTGATGGCGGGCGACCTTGTGGGAAGTGCAGAAGCAGGAGGAGCTTCTCCGACTCACTCTGCCGACAGTGGGGGCACGAGAGAAATGCCATTAGAATCGGGTTTGAGCAAGAGACGGGAAAGGCTAGAGAGCAGTGAATGTGGAAGCGGGATGCCCGAGAGCATTTGGCACCCCAGGGTGGAGCGGTTTGGGTGCAGGCTTCCACTGGCTTGTGAGCAGCTGTGGATGGCAGTTGGAGGGCTTAGCTTGCCAGCTGGTATTTCAGCTACTGCCTGGGGCGGGGCTTGCCCAGGTTTTCACAGCTCCTGGGAGTTCCTGCCGGGTTTGTGAGTGGGGACCGGGAGCAGCTCTGAGGGTGGCAGCCTCCCTCCAGCCCAGGCCCCTGGCTAACGGGCCTTTCCTCTCAGGAGTACAGCATCGTGATCGAGCAGCTCTCTAACGGCAAGTGGGTCCCCTTTGATGGGGATGACATTCAGCTGGAGTTTGTCCGCATCGACCCTTTCGTGAGGACCTTCCTGAAGAAGAAGGGTAAAGCTCTCCCCCGGGGGAGCTGCGGGAAGACGGCCCTGCCTCTGGCTCTCGGAGGCTAGCCGAGCAGCACTGGGAACCCTCCTGGCTATGTGTTATCTTCCCAGGTGGCAAGTACAGTGTCCAGTTCAAGCTGCCGGACGTGTATGGCGTGTTCCAGTTTAAAGTGGATTACAACCGGCTGGGCTACACGCACCTGTACTCTTCCACTCAGGTAAGCTCAGCCACAGCCCACTGAGCCAGTGTTCCCCCCGCGCTGCGGCCGGGCCGTCACTCTGTCCCGTTGCAGGTGTCCGTGAGGCCGCTGCAGCACACGCAGTACGAGCGCTTCATCCCCTCGGCCTATCCCTACTACGCCAGCGCCTTCTCCATGATGGCAGGACTCTTCATCTTCAGCATCGTCTTCTTGCACATGAAGGAGAAGGAGAAGTCTGACTGAGGCCTTGGGACTCCTTACGGCATGGAGACCGGAGGGTTTTTAATAGGATTGGTTTTCCCTTTTTTTATTTTGTTTTTAAAGCCTTGGGACAGTGGCATCGCCTTACCTCGATGGGAGATGCAGCACCGAGTACAAAAGGAGTGGGGGTCCAGGGGTGATTTGTGTGTAAGTTTTCCCATCTCGTGCTGAGTGGTATTTTTCAAATGTGCAGCTACTCTCATTTCTAAAATAAATAGAAACGTTACCCTCAAACTTCATCTGGCTCCCCCTGTGCTTTGCTAAAGAGGGTAATAACTGGACACAAAACATTAAGTGGCCTCTCTCAATTTTGCTGAAGACTAGAATGTACTTTATGAAATGATAGTGTTTCCAAACTTCTCAAGGGATAAAATAAGATTAATACACAGAGGACAGTGGGGAATTGCTGAAGCGGGAAATCTAAGGTAACAGCACTTGCCTTTATGACAGACACAGAATTGTTTGGTTTTCAAAAGAACCTTAAATATACATTCACTTGCTTTAGGCCCGTGGTCGCCAACCTTTTAGACCTCACGGACCAGCAATGGTCTGCAGAACACCAGTTGGCGACCGCTGCTTTAGACAATAGCCATATTCCTAAAGAGCTTGTGAAAAATTAATATGCGAAATCCCTCCCATTGTTGATCTCTGCCCACAAATTTTTTTTCTTTATGGTATAAGAATCAGTCTTAAAGCCAAATAGTCCAAGGCACATATATATTCTGCAGTTGTAAATAGGCATTTAATTCTTCACAATTCCTGTAAGAAATGCTAGTCAGGAAGAAACCGGCAAGTGTGAACCACCATGCTGTTCATTCCCATCCCACTGGTCATTTTAGCTCTGCTAGACTCAATGCAATAGCTGGGTGCATAGGCTGTTTTCCAGGACTGCATGTTTTTCATTCTGATATCTGAATACACTGACCTGTGCACACGCCTGCCTTAGCTCAGGGAGGATGCTGCTGACCGCTGCCTTGGCCTGGATCCTTTACAAAGTGGCGTGCAGGCCACCCCTCCCCAGCCCAGCCTCATTTACCAGCCCAGCCAGCTCCTCTTCAGAGGTCTGTGAAGACAGAACAGGAGCGCAAGGTAGGGCTTGTGGGCAGCATTTAACACCTGAGTGTATCTTCTCACCTTTATAGCTAAGATCTCACCACAATTTTACCATCCATACACATAGGGGCCAAGTGATTAGTGTTTTAGTGTTGTTGTTTTTTAGAGTTAGGCCCTTTGACTTCATCCAGATGAGGGGGTTGGCAAACTATGGCCTATGGGCCAGTCCAGCCTGCTGCAACCACTTAAAAACGTAAAAAACAAAACTGTTTAAGTGACACATGACATTCAGTGTCTATAAATAAAACTTTACTATTGGCATGCGGCCACACTTGTTCGTTTCCACATTTAAGACTGCTTTTGTGCTAAAACAGCAGAGTTGAGTAGCTGCAGCAGCTTGGGTGTTTACTCTGGGGCCTTCTATAGGAAAAGGTAAGTTTATGTAGATGCACCAATCGCACAGCCAGAGTTAACAGCTACAGGCCGTGAACTTCACTCACCTTGTTCCTCCCCTTTGCCAAACCAGATACCTTCTTTTCCACTGACCAGCCCTCTCTGCCATCTTTTCTCCTGACTTTCCCCTCACACCTCAGACCCATAACCCTCCTCCCCCTTCAGCATTCACAGACCATCACGACATAGATGCTGCCAAGCTCTTTTAGTGATTCAGCGGCTACAACAGCTTCCTGGGGCTGCCCTCCACGAGCAGAGGAGGAGGGCTGCCTGGCACAGCGTCTCGTGTTCCAGGTTGGCCAGAAACAACATCTTCATTTTTGTTTCCACACAGCTCTTCTCCGCAAGCCGGTCGGCCAACAGAGTGGCTGCTGATTGTTGGAGCAGCCAGCCGATCATCTTGTCTAGTTTCAGGCTCTTCAGGGCTAGAGTGTGCTCGCCCCAGAGGCTTAAGTGAAGCACGTTAGCAGCTACTCGGGCAGATGGTCTCTGCAATGGGAAGGGAAGCTGAGGCTTAGAACATCCGTGACAAGGTGTTCAGCCCACAACCCTCTTCGGAAAGGGATCCTCATTTCAGGTTCTTCCCTCCCCTGGTCTCAACCAAATTCTTCTCCGCCTTCTCTCTCCTACTTTCACCTCCTGACATATTGGCTGCTTTCCACCCGTGCTCCAGGCTCTCCCCGTTTACAAATGTGCCTGGGACAGTGCTCCCAGTGGGCCTCCTCATGATGGAGGGACACACACCGCCTCCTGCTTGGAACACTGTCTGGAAGGAGTTGTATCTCAGTAACTAGCAGCAGGCAGCATTACTGTGACCATGACAGCACACTGTGCAAGACGGGAGGGAAGTGGAAGAACAGAATTTGAGCCCTGGTCTGCCTCAGCTCTTTTCACTAAGCATGCCACCTGAACGAGACCTGCCGCTCCATCTGTGTGGCCTCGCGTGTGTTGGCCTTTAGACTCCTTATAGTAACTTCAAAATATCCAGATCTGCTGTCTTCACATCTACTGCCTCATTAGATCTCAGACGTTCCCATAAACTACACCTCCAACAGACATTTCTTAAAAATGCATCTTTCTCCTGAGTAACGTAAGCAACTAAAGCCAAGAACGGTTGACTTGCTGGGATTCTAATTTTGTGGCTTGTTCCCCTATTCCAATTCATACTAAACTCTATTTTGCTCTCCTATACTTGGTTTTTAAAACTTTGTAAGGCCGAAGAGTTGTTGGTCACTCTACATCGGGGGTGGGGAACCTTTTATAACATTCTACACAAAATTAACTTAAAAATTAGCCTGCTGTATTTATTTGGGCAAACATGTAATTAACTCACCCCTAACGCCTTGGCAGGGACAATCCAAATGATTTTGGGAGCTGTATGCCTGTGGGGCAGATGTTCCCAACTCCTGGTCTAGTGCTTGCCCAACACTATTTACTCTGAGGTTTCTACCTGCACAATCCCTGCAAAACCTGGTGATGGCCTCACCTTGCTGGCCTTCCGCTGCAGCAGTGATCTCACCAGCTGTCTTGCATCTAGAGGCACGGACTCGGGCAGTGCAGGCAGCTGAGTCTCTTGGTAGCTTCGGCTTTCAAGGTAGACTCCATTCTCGCCGTAAAAAGGATTGGGGAGCCCGAAGATTTCATAGGCGAGTGCTCCCACTGCCCAGGCATCAGCCTTGCTGTAGTCAATCACCGCCCTGGGGCCAGGGCAGGCCGTGGCCACCTGCTCGGAAAGCAATGGGGGAGCAATCACGGTGCTGGCATTTCTACTCGTGCTCCTGCATGCCACCTGATTCATGGGCTAACTGAACTCTGTCCTAACGAACCTAGAATTTTGGTGAGCTGTAGCTCAGACCCAGAAGAATCTGTCTAGGTTGTCAACTTTGTGCTGACAAAACATGCATCTCCCAGGAACATTAGGGAGATCCAGACTACAGCAAAGTGGCAGGAAAGGGACTGGTGCCAAACCATGGGTCATGAAAGTGGAGGAGCTGAGAAAATGATGAGGCATGAAGTCTTGTTCTATCAGTGGAAACACCAGAGTCGCTGATGGTGCATGACATCTCAGCGGGACTCACCTCAGGAGCCATCAGGCAGCCGTTTCCGCCCCGATCCACATTCCAGCTGGTGAAGGGCAACTGCAGGCCGATGCGTTCATCAGCCAGGCAGCAACCAAAATCCGAGATTACCAGCCAGGGGCAGCCGTCTGGGGAAGGGACAGAGGAGGTAAGCGACTGCTTCTCCAGCTTTCCTCCGAGAGGCCCTCCTAGGAACCCACTAAAGCCACCATCAAGACATGGGGGAGAGGGGCTGACAGGGGTTGGTACAGGACAGCAGAGAGCTCTCAGGGAGCCAAATGGGAAGGCCAGCTACATGAATACAGAAATGCCTCTAGAAAATGAAGGCTCCCTGACAAAGCCCTCAAACAAAGAACTGGATAAAAGTTTGGATCAATCTAGATTGGCCAGTGTTCTCAGTGGTTAGAGCGTGGCCCATGCACACAAAGGGTGCCGGGTTGGATTTCCAGTCAAAGGCAACCAATTGATATGTGTTTCTCACATCAATGTTACTCTTTCTCTCTCTCCTCTCTAAAAATCAGTGGAAAAAATATCAAGTGAGGATTAACAACAAAAAAGTTTGGATCGCCAAAACTGGTTTGGCTTAGTGGATAGAGTGTCAGTCTGTGGACTGAAAGGTCCCAAGTTTGATTCTGGTCAAGGGCATGTACATTGGTTGCGAGCACATCCCCGGTAGGGGGTGTGCAGGAGGCAGATGGTCAATGTTTCTCTTTCATCATTGTTTCTAGCTTTCTATTCCTCCCTCTTCCTCTCTGTAAAAAAATCAATAAAATATATTTAAAAAAAGAAAAAGTTTGGATTAATCTAAATAATGAAGTCATTGGACCTATCCCAAGGCTGAAGGACTGCTCATACTTGTACTCAACAGCGGGTGCTTGGCTCAAATGACCTCTAAGGGCCCTTATTTGAACCTGAAAACCCAAATCCAAACCTAAGAATCAGGTGCATTAGGAATTTGTTATTTGTAAGTTATTTGTAAAAGACTTCCTTTAAGAAGCCAGTTCCTGCCCTAGCCAGTTTGGCTCAGTGGATTGAGCATTGGCCTGAGGACTGAAAAGTCCCAGATTCAATTCAGGCCAAGGGAACATGCCTGGATTTTGGGCTCAATTCCTAGTAGGGGGCGTGCAGGAGGCAGCTGGTCAATGATTCTCTCCCATTGATGTTTCTCTCTCTAACTCTTCCTTCCTCTCTGAAATCAATAAAGAAATATATATTTAAAAAAAAGCTAATTCCTCTGATAATTGCATATTTACTTATTTTAAATCTAGATCAAAAGTGATCAGATCTATGAACTACTTTACAGTATCCCCAAATAATTAACCATCCACCTTCTACTTGAATGCTTCCAGTAATGGGGAATTCATTATTTCTAGAGGCATCTGGGCTTATATTTGGATGGCTTTCAGTTTGGAAATTCTTTCTTATATTGAGCTAAAGTCTACCTCTTTTACTTTAATGGAGAAAACTTCCACCACTAGAGTTGCTCTGTAAATGGGCAACAGAAAGGAACTTGGGAATGTTAATCACTCCACAAGTCCCACAGAGAATGAAAGCTCCCACTTTGAAAAACAGATTGTGCCAGATTGCGCATGTCTTTGTACAGAGCTAAATATAGATACAGCCTACAATAGGACATAAAAACCAAAAAGGACCCATGTCCCCAGACCCCCGGAAAACTGCAATGTAGGCAGGCACCTACTTGCATCCAGCTCCACAAGGATGTTGTCAGATTTCAGGTCTCTGTGTGCGACGCCCTGTTGAACCAGATGATCCACTCCTTCCAAGAGCTGCAAGATCATCACAGTGGCGAGGCGGGGGCTTGGGGTCTTCACTTGAAGGTACTGGCGCAGAGTACAGGGGTAGCTGGTGGAGAAGGCGACGGAACTTCTATCATGCACTGACACTTGTGAGCATCTTATTTATTACTAAGATGATGGACTTGCCTCTTTTTCCTGGGGATTTTTTTCTTTTTGCCCCAAGTATCCTTTGTTCCCACCCACTATCCTGAAATTAGCAAGAGCCAGGCCTCACGTGTTGAAAGTTAATAGTATAGATCTCATTTTCTTAAAATGTCCATGACTGCAGTGTTCAGGGGTACAGAGGGGGAGAAGAACTGTGTATGTTAAAAAAACAAACAGCCTAGCTGGTTTGGTTCAGTGGATAGAGCATCAGACTGTTGACTGAAGGGTCCCAGGTTCAATTCTGGTTAAGAGCACATGCCTGGGTTGCAGGCTCGATCCCCAGCAGGGAGTGTGCAGGAGGCGGCTAATCAAGGCAGCTAATCAAGGCTTATTGATGTTTTTCTTTCCCTCTCCCTTCACACACACACACACACACACACACACACACACACACACACACACGAGAAGGCAGCCACAGAGAAGGGACAAAGTCAAATGCATTAAAAGCACTAGGTGTACCCAGTCATGTGGCTCAGTGACCTATAAAGAACCAGAATGATTCTGTTCTTGGACAAAGCACATGCTCAGGTTGCAGGCTCAATCCCCAGTGGGGGGCATGTGGGAGGCAGCTGACCAATGAATTTTATCTCATCGTTTATGTTTCTCTGCCCCTCCCTCTCTAAAATCAATAAAAACATACACTTATACTAATAGAGGAATATGCTAACTGTCCATGATGCTGTTACAGTAACAGTAACAACCAAACAGCAGGCTGCGTGGGGTGACCAGGCTGGCGGGGTGGTTAGTGAGGGACGACCAAACAACTGAACAGCAGGCTGCGTGGGGCAACCAGGCCCGCAGGGGGGTGAGGAGTGGGGAGGCAGTTAGGGATGACCAGGTCGGCAGAGGGGGGCAGTTGGGGATGATCAGGCTGGCAGGGGGGCAGTTAGGGGCGATCAAGCCGGCAGGCAGGTGAGCAGTTAAGAGTCAGCAGTCCCGGATTTTGAGAGGGGAGTCCGACTGCCAGTTTAGGCCTGATCCTAAACTGGCAGTCAGACATGCCCTGAGGGGTCCGGGATTGGAGAGGGTGCAGACTGGGCTGAGGGACCCTGCCTCCCCCCCTCCCCCCCCGCTCCCATGCACAAATTTCATACACTGGGCCTCTAGTCTATAATAATCTATAACAACAACAGCGTAATATCCTAATTAGACCAGACGTCCTTCTGGATGAAGCTGGGGCTGAAAGGGAAGCTCGGGTCCTGGGTGCCCGCCAGCACCCGGAAGGAAGTCTGGGTCCTGGGTACCAAAGGGAAGCTGGTGCCGGCAGCTGGGGGAAGGAAGGCCTACCTACCCTTGCATGAATTTCATGCATCAGGTCTCCAGTATTTTAAATAAAAGCACAAGGTGAAAAGTCTCTTCTAAATGAAGAGATTCTGTTTATGGAAACTTGCCCTTGGCATGGCCTTATCTCCCAAAGGATGAGGATCTGTGTCCCTGTGACCCTGGACTCCAGGCGCACAGAGGCAGGGAACAGCTCTCACTCACTCCAGGTCCTGCCATACTCCTGCACTTACTTCTTCATGACGAGGAAAAGCGTCCGCCCGTGGCCCACGCCTTCAGGGTAAAGACGTGGGGGCAGCACATCTGGATAGTCGACCAGGGCCCCTGGCAGCAGCGGGACAGATGATGTGAAGGCGCGGAAGACCCGGATGATGTTAGGGTGAGGAGCCAGCTGCTTCAGACCTCCCTTAGATTTTCTGTTTCAATCAAAAAGGACAAATGTATGAGCCCAGTAACAGGTAACAAGAGTTGGAAAGATAACGTAAGGCCACAGTAAATACTGCCATTCATTTATCCACCATTTACATTGAACATTTACTACAGATCTGCTATGTTACAGATGCAAAATCTGGTGTTAGAGAAAAAACCATTAAGGTGACGCATCACATTTGATGAGCCCAGATAAATGCCAGTCCTTCTTTCCGTCGTCCATCATCCTATGTGGCAGATACAGTTGTTAAGAGCACCTGGAATCGACTAGGCGTCTAAGTTTGGATTCCAGGTCTGCCGCTGTACATCCTTGGCCAAGTAAACTTCTCTGGGCTCAGTCTCAAGTACAGGGAAAAAGGCAGTAACATATCTCAGAAGGTTGGTAATACTTGTAAAGAAAGGACTAGCATCTCTGTGATTCCAAGATCTCGCAATAACACTTGGTGTGGAGTATGAGCTCAATAAACCTTTGTTGAATGAATGAATGGATTCAGACAGTTGGGGATAGAGTTGTCACCTACCTGCCCTCCCTGCCCTTTGTCTCCAGAAGCCCCACACTCACAGTCTCAACCAAAGACGACTGGACTAAGGCTAACAAGCCTGGACACATCTGAGATCAAAATGGCTGACAGGAAAAGGGAAGGGGCTAGGTAGAATCTCTGAGGGTACAAATGCAATGGAGCTGGTGAAAGGATGACATGAGATGTACTTGGGCCACTGTGCAAGCCAAAGGCAGACAGGAACAGAAGAGCCATGGAGTAAGAAATAAGGACACCGGTGTCAGAGGACAATGGAATAGAAGCCCAGAGACATCAAGACAATTCTTAGGGAGCGTGACGCCTGCCTGTCCTCAGAGCTGCCTCAGTTCCCGAGCTCTGTAGGTCCAGCTATTGTGCGGCTTCTACTGCTCTTTCTATTCACTGGGCCCCTGCTCTGTGCAATCAAGAGTCAAGGAGAAACCAAGATGGCGGCCTAGGTAAGCACCTAAGCTGCCGCCTTGCACAACAATTTCAAAACAACAACTAAAAGACAGAATGGACATCATCCAAAACCACAGGAAAGCTGAGTGGAAAAATTTTCAACTAGAAAGAAGGAGAGAGACTCACGGATCAGGGGAGCCGCAAAGCACTGAAGTAGGGAGACGCTCGTGTGCAGAAAGGAAGGGCGGCTGAGTGCCTGGCTGGCAGGAGGGGAAAGGAAGACCCTGACTGCACTGAACCCCAATCCCGGCCGAAACCCCATGGACCCAGACTCATACGGGTGGAGTCTGGACTGTAGAGAAAGGCACCCCGAGAGTCAGAGGCTGGGAGACTTGAGGGAGCCGGGAGCCATAAAAGGCAGAGTCTAGTGCTCAAGAGGCGCTCACAAGTGAGTGCATGCACAGAGGTCTGACGGTGGAGGTTGCTGCAGCCTCTCCATAGCAGAACGAGTCAAAGCTCCATACCACAGAGACCCAACCCAGGTCCAGGCAAGCCTCTGGGGCACCCACACTCTTACAAGGGGAATCTGGACTGTTGGGCAGAAACTCAGGGGAGCCGCGAAAGGCAGAGGTCTGAGGCGCGCACACAAGGGCAGGGCTGACAGGAAGCCAAGACAGTCAGCTCAGCCCTGAGACTCTGCCCCATCCAAGCTGAGCACAGAGGCTGTTGCAATTTTGCAAGTTTGATCCTATAAGACTGTTTCCAATATAGAAGGTATCCCGACAGACACAGCTGATATATCCAATTGGCCTGAAGGTCAATTCCTCCCAGTGATAGCAACAACAATTTAACTACAAGGCTGTACACACAGTCCACAAAGGGGAGCACCAACAGTGTCCACCTCAGGTAACTGGGGAGGCTGACCCACTGGGCCATATAGGACATCAAGCACTTAAGCCACCCTACCAACTCAGGGAAGCAGCGAAAATGCCAAGACAAGGAAACAGATCTTAAATGAAAGAAATGGAGAACAAAAGACTGGATATAGAGTTCAAAACCACAGTGATGCCGGGACCCGTTTGGCTCAGTGGTAGAGCGTCGGCCTGCGGACTGAAAGGTCCCGGGTTTGATTCCGGTCAAGGGCATGTACCGTGGTTGCGGGCACATCCCCAGTAGGGGGTGTGCAAGAGGCAGCTGATCGATGATTCTCTCTCATCGATGTTTCTAACTCTTTATCCCTCTCTCCTCCTCTCTGTGAAAAATCAATAAAATATATTTAAAAAAAACAACCCACAGTGATAAGGTTTTTAAAGAATTTCCTAGGAAAGGCCGATAAATTTAACGAAACCCTTGAGGATATAAAAAAGGACCAACTAGAAATTAAACATACACTGACTGAAATAAAAAATATTATACAGAGACCCAACAGCAGACTAGAGGAATGCAAGAATCAAGTCAAAGATTTGGAATACAAAGAGGCAAAGGATATTCTTCTGGAGAAGCAAAAAGAGAAGAGAATCCAGAAAGTTGAAGGTAGTGTAAGGAGCCTCTGGGACAACTTCAAGCATACCAACATCAGAATTATGGGGGTGCCAGAAGAAGAGTGTAAGATACTGAAAACCTATTTGATGACCAGTCATCCCTCAAAAGGCACCACGAACTGCCCCTTTGGGAGGCCATTCTGAATGGCCCACCCTTGTCACACACACACACCACCTCTGGGTTCCCTCAGCACCTGAGCGTACACCATTCTAGAACTTTCCACGCCTGCCTTCTCCTGAGACTTCTGGCTCCTGGGCCTCATGGAGAACTCTTGGGGAACAGGCCACTTTTTTTTTTTTTTCTGTCAGCACCATTAGATGCCCTGTAGCTGTTAGAGGAAAGAATGCCACCTCTGCTTAGGGCAGAGTTCAGTTGGTACAGACAGGTGGCGCTCCACTGGGCATTACTTAGGAAGAATCAGAAATCAGATCAATTCCCTACTTTCTGAAATGGGCGTTTGGGAATGGCCCTCTCCCCTCACTCCAGTGTGCATTGGCAGGTAATCTACAATCTTTCCCAAGTTAATGACCCACCAACCGAAAATCCAACATTAGCTGCACCATTCAGGAAGCATTTGCTATCATCCTCATGTCATGTCAGACACTGTGCTGAGTGCCGAGGACAGATGGTTTTGTTCTCTAAGAACTCACAGCCAGTCTGGCGGGTGCTTACCTGTAAGTGAAGTCTCCATATTCCCCGGTCAAGGCCACTCGACTAGCTGGGACTAGCTCCTGGCTCATTGTTCTAAAGATGGCTTCGCTGGAGGAGCCGGCCTGAAACAAATCCACAATGAATCCAGGGTTATGGAGACCCAAGCAGAATGGTAAGTCCAACCCCTCCTTGTAATCCAGACCAGAACACTTATTCTTAGAATAAATTTTGACCTTCAAGATAAGCCCAGCCTGCCAAAACCGGTTTGGCTCAGTGGATGGAGTGTCGGCCTGTAGATTGAAGGGTCCCGGGTTCGATTCCAGTCAAGGGCATGTGCCTTGGTTGTGGGTACATCCCCAGTGGGGGGTGTGCAGGAGGCAGCTGATCGATGTTGCTCTCTCATCAGTGTTTCTGGCTCTCTCTCTCTCCCTTCCTCTGTAAAAAAAAAATCAATAAAATATATTTTAAAAAAAAGAAAAAAGAAAAAAAGAAAAAAAAAAAGAAAGCCCAGCCGGTGTGGCTCAGTGGCTGAGCATTGACCTATGAACCAGGAGGTCACGGTTTGATTTCTGGTAAGGGTTGAGGATTCGATCCCCAGTGAAGACCTGCGGAAGGCAGCTAATCAATGATTCTCTCTGATCATAGATGTCTTTATCTCCCTCTCCCTCTCCCTTCTTTTTTAAAAAATATATTTTATTGATTTTTTACAGAGAGGAAGAGTACCTTGGTTGCGGGCACATCCCCAGTAGGAGGTGTGCAGGAGGCAGCTGATGGATGATTCTCTCACACTTATGTTTCTAACTCTCTATCCCTCTCCCTTCCTCTTTGTAAAAGACCAATAAAATATACTTAAAAATATATATATCTTGTAAGAATCAAGTCTTTTAGGTTTTCTGAATGCAAAAGTTCTCAAGCCCTAACCAGTGAAGTTTTGACGCAAAAGGTTCAGATGCTTGTTAGCTATTAACCCAGCTTGAAAGGGCAGCAGTAATAACCTTCCTTCCCCAAATCAAAACAAGAAACTGCACTTCAGGGTCCAGCATGAGCTTATGGCTGTTTTCCACCTTAGACTTGGATGTGTGCTCTGGGCAGGAGAAAGAACATCAGGTCTTGATGAATTTTCTAAGCCCACCTATGTAATGTCAAGGTAAAGAAATTAGTCTCAATAGACCAAAATCTGTTTTTGTGGGGGGAATACCGGTTAATAATGCAGATTTTTTTTTCAATAGAAGGAGTTACACATATGTTGATATATATGCGATTTGATATGTATGCTCTTTTGCTATATCGACAGCAGCTTCAAAACTTCATGTCAAATTTGCTGAAGGTGTTAACATCATAGATATTTTTATGCTTAATAATGTCGAATTTCGTGCCAAAAAGAGCACTTGTGGGAAGTTTTAATTCATTACTTTATTTTGAAGAAAAGTGCTGCTAAAAAGTTATCATATACGCCAGGAAGTTTATGGTGAACATGCTCCATCTCAGGATACTTGAGAACACTGGTTTATATGCTTTAAAAATGATGATTTTGATGTGAAAGACAAAGAACATCTCGGTCAACCAAAAAAGTTTGAAGACCAACAATTACAAGAATTATTGGATGAAGATGTGTGTCAAGCTCAAAAACAACTTGCAGAAAGATTAAACATCGCTCAGCAAACAATTTGATTGTTTACAAGCAATGGGAAAGATGTTAAAGGAAGGAAAATGGGTGTCACATCAACTGAACTAAAGACAAATGAAAAACTGAAAAGTCATTAGTAAAATGTTGCTTCCATGGCATGAAAGTCTTTTTACATAGAACTGTGACTGGTGATGAAAAGTGGATTTATTTTGAGAATTCCAAACACACAAAATCATGGGTTGATCCAGGTCAACCATCAACATCGACTGCAAGGCCAAATCGCTTCGGAAAGAAGACAATGCTCTGCGTTCGGTGGGATCAGGAAGGTGTGGTGTGTTATGAGCTTCTAAAACCAGGTGAAACTGTCAATACTGATTGATACCGACAACAAATAATCAAACTGAACCACACTTGGATAGTAAAATGACCAGAATGGGCCAGAAGATGCGGCAAAGTAATTTTGCTTCATGATTATGCACCATTGCACACTTCAAAATCAGTTAAAGACACGTTAAAAGATCTTGCCTGGGAAGTATTAACCCACCCGCTGTCTTCACCAGGCCTTGATCCTTCAGATGACCACTTGTTCCTATCGATGGCACTTCCTGAGCAGCACTTCAAAACGTACGAAGAAGTGGAAAATTGGGTCTCTGAATGGTTTGCCTCAAAACAAGAAAAGTTCTATTGAAACGGTATCCACAAGTTACCTGAAAGATGGGGGAAATGTGTAACTAGCGATGGACATTACTTTGAATAAAGCACTTTTGATGTTTCTCTTGAAATTATCCTGTGTTTTTTTTTATTCCAAATCTGCATTATTAACCGGTACACCTGGTATACTCAATAGCCCAACACCTGGAGTCCTCCCAGGATTGACAGCAGGAAGGTGACAAGCAAGCCTCTGATCTGGAGGAAAGGTGGAGGGTGAGGCTAGAGACAAGGAGTGTGCTCCTCCTTTCCAGTGAGGCAGGTCACTGGGAGGAGAAAAGATGGTGGTAACTGCGGTCCTGAAATGAACTAACTGATCAGCCAGGACTGCCAGCTGAGAAACCACTGGTTAGGCACTTGTTACTCAAACCTTGTTTCACAACCAGCAGCATGGGTGTCACCTGGAAGCTTATTGACAGAATCTCAAGCCCACCCCAGACAGATCAGAATCTGTCAATCCCCAGGTGATGTGTGGACATACTGCGTTTTTGAGACACAGGACTTCACACTCCTGAGCTACATAAGCAGCTGGACTGTGGAGAATCTGTCTTTTCCTGGGAAAGACTTCATCAGGTCCCCAGATTGGCACTCTGAAGATGGAGGCCCGCTCTTACCCTGATGTTCCACATCATCTTGATGGCGAAGGGGAAAGCTGGGGGCTGTGGAGTGCGCCCCTCTCCTGGGGGGATGATGTCTGGGGCGCTCCCTGGAAGAAGCCGGATGCTCTTTGCCACCTCCAGGTTCCGGGGCAACACAGGCATGGTGGCCTCATACACAGCAGCACTGCAGCCCTTGCCAATGGACTGCCCTATCAGGTACTCCTCCAGCTGGAAGCCCTGCCAGCGTCTAGTGTCCAGCGGGTCAGGGAGCAGCTTGCTTTTCTGGGTGAAAATGGTCTGTGAGGAAAAAACACACTGTGAGAGAGGGAGACTGGGAAGGCTAAGTAATGGGAAATGGGGGAGGGGAAGGATAGCGGGGCAAGGTCTTCAGGTACAAGATTGGGAGCTGGTAAAAACACAACCAAAGTAAGTTTCACTGCTCAGCCTGGGCTCAGGCCATCCTGCCTTCCTCATTACTCAGAATAATTTTTCTCACACTCAGTCGCTTCACCGCCTGCATCAGAGACAACTCAACACTGAACATCGGTAGTTAAGAGGTCAGGACTACCAATTTCTACAGTTGACACACAGACTCCTTTGCTGCCCATCAACCCCAGCACAATGCTGGAGGTTTCTGGTCATGGAGACAGCTCCCTCTGCAAAGGGCTTGGCAGGCAGTTAGCGGATGGCAGCCAGGAGCTGTAGATGGGCAGGAGTATGTGGCCAACAGCACCCTCTACCTGTGAAGGGGTCACTTTTGCAGACAAGGGGGTAAAATCAGGAGGGTCCCTGGAGCTGAATCATTAAACCCTAACTCTACCTCTGAGGAATCTGGTGGATTCACTCTATTTCCAGAAAGAAACAAGAATATAATAATTCCTATGGAAATAGATGGAAATGCAGGTGCTGATGAGGATGCAATCCCCCCAAATCAGAGTCCTTCAGGCAGCTGACATCATTTGAAGTCACCCACGCTTCACCTCAAATCCTATCTGATGTGCTGATCCCTTCTGTTCCGTGGTTAGTTACCCACCTCTAGACTTTCCTCCTCTCACACCATCCCTTCACCTGCTTCTGAGCCAGATCAAACTACACTGCTTTCAATGTCACTCTCTTTTGTTCAAAAACCTAGCCAGTAGGTTACTCAGGACTCTGTCCTGGCATTTCATATGTTTGAAAACTCTATCTCCTCTTGGTGAAATATACTCCATATACCTCCATCTATTATAAATGGAGCAGCCACTCTTCCACTATGACACCATATGGAATTTTAGTATTAGAGATGCCAGGTCTGGTGATTTTCCCCCAAAAAGAAATCAAACACCTGAATTTTAAAAACTGTTAACTAATTAAAACATTTTAAGTGAAGTGTGAGAAAAGGACGTGTAGATGGTAAGCTTAGGACGGAGCTCCTCAGTTACAAAAAGCCTCCGTCATTTTATTAAGCAGGATTATCAAGCTTCCCACCCTTGGCTCCTGCCAGTTGAGCAATAGCAAAACACAAGGACAGTAGCAGGGGACTAGGTCAGGTGTCACCTGTCACCCCAAACTAGCCAGAGCTCAGACATGAGACACTCCAGTGCTGAGTAATGAGGACTGGGCCGGGAACCAGGCGACAGGGGAGAGACACTGCTTCGTCCTTAACCAGCTGTGTCCTTGGGCAAGTCACTCTGCAGAGGCAGCACTAACTCAGTCTGCGCTCCAAGCCCTGGAAGAGGGAATTCTGCCAGATGACCTTCACACTTGAACTGCAATGATGGCTCTTTCCTGGGTCTGCCTACCTGCCCTTAAGGTTTCAGATTTGCCATCCTCCAGAACTGCAGAGTCAATTCCTTAAAATAAATCTTTTTCTATAAACATACCTATTGGTTCTATTTCTCTGGAGAACCCTGATCTATGCGGATTTTAGTAAGGTAGAAAGAGAGGTCCCTGAATTGTTTTTAGGCAAATTTTAAAAGCCTAAGAGCCCGCTGGCTGGTGTGGTTCAGTATTGGAGCCACAATCTATGAACCAGGAGGCCACGGTTCAATTCCCGGTCAGGGCACATGCTCAGGTTGCAGGCTCCATCCCCAGTGTGGGTTTGCAGGAGGCAGCCGATCAGTGATTCTCTCTCATCATTGATGTTTCTCTCTTTCCCCCTTCCTCTCTCAAATCAATAAAAATATACTCCAGCCGAAACCGGTTTGGCTCAGTGAAGAGTCCCAGGTTCGATTCCGGTCAGGGGCGTGTGCCTTGATTGCGGGCACATCCCCAGGGGGGCATGTGCAGGAGGCGGCTGGTCGAGTTTCTCTGTCATCGATGTTTCTAGCTCTCTATCCCCTTCCTCTCTGTAAACAATCAATAAAATATATTATAAAAAGAAAAAATATATATATATACTCCAAAAATAAAAAAGCCTAAAAACCCCTACATATCCACTCACTCTAGATAACTCCCCCCAAGTTAACTAAAACAGTTTGGTGTGATGTCTTCCTTTCTGCTCCTAATTTAACTCTGGCTTCAGCTGCGTCACCAATTGTCTGGCTAACCTGCGGAGGCAGCCTGTCTCGGTGCTCAGGGGCACGGCTCTTTACTACGGTAGCTGTTTTGAGTTCAAGCATGGCATTTTGCCTCTCTGAGAATGCTTCCTTACCCATAAGTTAGGGACCACAACTACCTCAGGGATAGAATGTTACGACGTGTCATTACATTTTTAAAAATTGACACAAAGTTGCCGAAACCGGTTTGGCTCAGTGATAGAGCGTCGGTCTGCGGACTGAAGGGTCCCGGGTTCGATTCCGGTCAAGGGCATGTACACTGGTTGCGGGCACACCCCCGGTAGGGGGTGTGCAAGAAGCAGCTGGTCGATGTTTCTCTCATCGACATTTCTAGCTCTCTAGCTCTCTCCCTTCCTCTCTGTAAAAAAATCAAGAAAATATATTTTTTAAAAAATTGACATAAAGCTACGAGCCATGGTGCAACAGTGCCTATAATTAGCAGCGTATCTTTCCGAAGCATGTTTGAGGAAGGGGAACACAGGAAAACGAAAGTGAGATGCTGTCTCTGCACCAGAAGACCAGTAACCCTGAAAATGAGCCTTATTCGGAGATTTTCAAGGAAAGTCCCAATCTGAGGAGGAAGGATCAATTGATTTAATTCAATGCCTGCAGGCCCCGCCCCCACCATCGCCCCGCCCCCACCTGAAACCCGCTCCGGGGCCACCTGCGGGCCCGCCCCGCCCCGCCCGCCCCCCGCGGCGCTCACCTGGATGTCCTGACACGCCGAGGCCGCCCGCCGGCCCTCCGCCTGCTTCTCCTCCACCAGGCCCAGCCCCAGCCCGAAGGCCAGAAAGACGGCCCGGCCGCAGGGGCCCGCGCCGCCCCGGGCCCGCACCACGAACTGCCGCTGGAGCCGCGCCGCCAGCCCCGCCACCGACTGGCGGAAGAAGCGGTAGCGGTCCGGCAGCCCGAGCCCGAGCCTGCGCGGCTCCGCGCCGGGGCCCGCGGCCTGGCCCGGGCGCTCACCGCGACCCCGGGCCGCCGCGGGCCCCGGCCACTCGGGCCGTCCCCAGCCGTAGGTCGGGCCGGGTTTGGCCGTGAAGCGAAGCAGCAGCGCTCGGCCGAGCTGCAGGCCGCGGCCCAGCGCCTGTCGCACCGCCATGGTAGCGGCGAAGCGGGCGCCGGCGCGCGAGTCACAACAACAACAACAAACTTCGGGGGCGGCGCCTCTGCGCAGGCGCGTGCGCGTGCAGGGGCGGTGCCTCGGCGCGTGCGCGTGCAGGGGGTGGCGATGGGCGGGGTCACGTGCCCGGCAGTTCCAGCGCTGAACGCGCGAGGGCGCTGTGCGCGAGCCTGGCGCTGGATAGTTTCTTGCCCTTTTGCACTTTAGACCTGGGGTGGTGGTGTTGCATGCCAGGCAAATCCTGAAAGAACATTGCTGGCCCAGGGAATCTGGAGTATCACCCATCTGGCTCTTTACTACTATTAATTTATTTAATCTTCCCACCGAGGAGATAGGAATATCATTTTTATAGATAAGGAAACTGAAGCGTGTAAAGGGCAGTGACTGTCAGCAGTCCCAGTGTCAGAGCTAAGGTTAAAGTTCATGTTGCCTTGCCTACTGAGTCCTTCCCTTCCCCAATGCTCTTAGGCACCCCTCTACTAGCCCACAGCCCTTGCTAGTTTCTTAGGATCCCCAGAAAAATATCACCCAAAGGTCACATTTTTTTCAGAGGAGTGAGCTGCGTCCCCAAGATGTGAGGGGACTTGCCTGAATGATACAGCTTGTTAGTGGCACATCCTTGTTACCCAAACCAGCTGTTAGGAATGGCTGATAAAGGGATTCATTTCCTTTTTTCTTGTGTTTTTTATTTAATGGGGATTTTCAAGCATACACAAAAATACAATAGTATAATGAACTCCATGTACCTACCCATTAACCAGCTTCAACAATTATCAAAAACTAGAGGCCCAGTGCACAAAATTCATGCATAGGAGGGTCCCCTCAGCTCAGCATGCACCTTCTCCAATCTGGGACCCCTTGGAGGATGTCCGACTGCCAGTTTGGGCCCTCTCACAATCCTGGACTGCTGGCTCCTAATCGCTCACCTGCCTGCCTGCCTAGTTGGCCCTAACTGTCCCCCTGTCTCCCCCTGCCGGCCTGGTTGCCCCTCACGCCTAGTTGCTCCATGCAGCTTGCTTGTTCAGTCATTTAGTCTCCCTCACTGACCCACCTGCCAGACTGGTTATAGGCAGCCATCTTGTGAGGGTGTGAGGGTTAATTTGCATATTATGTCTTTATTATATAGGATGGTCATTATTTATTCACCTATAAAAAAAAATTCCACACAGGTCCAAAACCCGGGCATGTGCCTTCGACAGGAATTGAACCGGGATCCTTCAGACCCCAGGCTGAAGGGCCCTAATAGATTAGTCTCCATCTAATCTACTAGGGCCCTAACCATTATTAAACATCCCCAAGTACCAGGCAGGCTTTCCTAGGCTCAGCCACAGAACTGGAGAAGGTAGGGGGGTTACTGGCGAGACCACAGGGGTCTCCCTGCTCTGCACTCCGCTCTGTGGGCGCCCTTCTGCCTTCATTGTACCTTCCTTTACTGTCCAGGTGGCGAGACTGTGCAGTTTTCGTAAAATACATGAGAAGCCTCTCTTAACCTTCCCCATAGGACACGGTGTCAGGGGGGGAGCTGACGCTAATGGAAGAATGGAAAACGACAAGGAAAAAACCCACAGCCGCCAAGGGCATTCTGACCTTCTCCCCTGGCACCGTTTCAATACCTTTGTCTCCTCCTGGCAGGAGACAGACCAATTTCCCCAGGGCAGCGACATCCTTTATCCACAGCCCGTGTCAGACGCACTATCTCTGCATTGCCAGCAGAGGTGGGAGGAGGTTTTGCTAAAACTGTTGACAGTGCAAAGCCAGATGAAAATCCGACTGGAGCCGCGTTTGGAGGGTTTGAATCAGACAACAGGGGCCGAGAGTGGGATTTCATGGGCACCGAGGGCCTCCGCTTTGCTGCCGGGACAAGGGGGATGGAAACGTGCTGGCGGTGGGTGAGGGCGATCTGTGGCTGAGAAATCCAGACAGCCTGCGGTCCCAGAGGCTGCCCCGCAGCGATTATTGGAAGGAAAAATGTGGTTCTGTGATCTGTTGCCCAAAGTCCGTCACAGGCTCTTTGCCCTGCCAGTGCCGCAGGGTGAAGACTGAGCTCCGCAGCCTGGCACAGAAGGTCCTTTCCTATCTGCCCTGGCATCTTTCTTGCAGTCCGTCTTCCCTGCCTTTGTGGTCCAGCAATGCTGAATTTCTTGCAGTCTTCCCAAGCATCACACTGACTCCCCTGCCTTTTTTTTTTTTTTTTTTAAATAAATCTGTGCTTAAAAATATATATATATATATTTTACAAAGAGGAAGGGAGAGGGATAGAGAACTAGAAATATCGATGAGAAACATCGATCAGCTATCTCCTGGGGATGTGCCCACAACCAAGGTACATGCCCTTGACCGGAATCGAACCTGGGACCCTTCAGTCTGCAGGCCGACGCTCTATCCACTGAGCCAACCGGTTTCGGCTTTTTATTTTCATTTATTTTTTAATATATTTTTATTGATTCCAGATTGGAAGGGAGAGGGAGAGAGAGATAGAAACAACAATGTTGAGAGAGAATCATTGATCAGCTGCCTCCCACATGCCCCCCACTGGGGACCGAGCCTGAAACTGGGGCATATGTCCTGACCAGGAATCGAACTGGTGACCTTCCAGTTCCTGGGTTGATGCTCAACCGCTGAGCCACACCTGGGTGGGCTCCCCCTGTATTTTTTTTTTCTACTTTTTATTTTTTTGCCTCTTTTCCCTTGCTTGTCCACAAGTAACTAATGTTGTTAAATATTTTGTGCAATCTTAATTTCTCTGGGTTATATATGGGAGATAGGTAACTTTTGACTTAGAAGGTCAGATACCACTATCCCAAATGCTGGAAACTGCTCACAATTCAAAAGAAAATATTTGAAAACTTGGTCTGTTCATTGTGTCGAGAAGTGAGCAGAGCACGTGGGAAGATGACTCATTTTGTCTTGATTTACCTCTTAAAAGAATCCTTAAAAAAAAAATATATATATATATATATATATATATATATATAGTTATAGTTATTGATTTAAAGAGGAAGGGAGAGGGAGAGAGAGATAGAAACATCAATGATGAGAGAGAATCATTGGTTGGCTGCCTCCTGCACATCTCCCACTGGAGATCCAACCCGCAACCCAGGCATGTGCCCCTGGTTGGAATCGAACCCAGGATCCTTCAGTCCTCAGGCTGACATCTATCCACTGAGCCACACCAGCCAGAGCAAGAACCCTTATCCACACTTGAGGTCACCTCCTCCCAGGAAGCCTTCTTTACCCTTTCCCAGACTGAGCGAGACCTTCCTTCTCTGGTTCCCTTTCTGAAGTGTGAGCTCTGTAAGGACAGGGACAGTGATTTTTAAACCTTTGATCCCCCAGCTCCTGGCACAGGGCCTTCTGATCCCCAGCCCTTGCCGGGAGCCATCTGGGAACACAAACCCTCAGGGGGCAGGCTCCCTGCCAAGGAGGAGGAGAGGGAAAGGGCTGGGCTAGCCTTTTGAACTCCCAGTCACCAGACTCACACCTCCTTTCCCACAGCGAGCCAGAAGGGACGGAGGAAAACCATAGGAAGGTTGAGCAGCTCTCCCTCCACCCTCAACAGAATCACCCTGCATCTGTGCTCCTGTTGTTGGCAAATGAATTTCCTTTCTAGGTCTTCTTTCTTTGTATACCCCTTTAGTGTGTGTGTGTGCTTTTTTTTTAATATTAAAAAGTCCTTCAAATAAAAGGTTTAAAAAAACACTATACACACACACACACACACATATATACTAGAAGCCCAGTGCATGAAATTCGTGCACGGGTAGGGTCCCTAGAGGCTGCAGCTGCTGTCTGAGACCTTCCTTCCCCCTGCCCCTCCCCAGCTGCCTGCTGCTGGCCTGGGCCTCCTTTCCTGTGGTTGGCTAGCTGGCTCAGCCCCCCTGTCCACGCCCCCCTCCCCAACACACAGTTTGAACTCCTGGTAGAGGGGACAAATTGCATATTAGGCTTTTATTATATAGGATGCTCACATAAAATGCAACAATCTCCTTCTCTAACTTCTAAGCTCAGAGGCAAAAATATTTTACTCTTTTAGCTATTTTTGCTATGATTTCCTTCAGATCTCCAATACCTCTTTATTTGGCAGCCTGAGCTATTTAAGTCACAAAGCTGACCACGTCATCCCTGCTGCCTGAGACCGATGGCCCGCTTTCCCTAGACCTTCTGCCACCCTTACCTACTCTTCTGTTTTATTTACCGTGCCTTGCCCGTATGCATTTTCAATGTTTCCAACTCTAGAGAGCCCGGTCCCTGGTATTCATGCCTTTCTGCAATCCCCTCCCCTTGGCTGTGGACTGGACATTAAGGACCTTAAGGAATAGAATTTGGCAAAAGTTATGGGCTGCCACCTTCATGGTTAAGTTGCAAAAAGACAATGTGGGCTTCTGTCTTGCTCACCCTTTCTCACTCTCCTGCTCGCTTCTTCATAGGAAAGCCAGCTGCTTTGTGGCAAACTGCCCTGTGGAGAGGCCCACGTAGCAAGGAAGTGAATAGCCACAGCAACAGCCCACAGGAACTAAATCCCGCCAACAATCATGAGAGTGAGCTTTGAAGTACATCCTTCCCCAGTCTAACTCTCGGACGAGACAGCAGCCACCAGATGACCCAGCTCTGCCCAGATCCCTGACCTGCAGAAACTGTGAGATAATAAATTTCTGTCATCCCAAGCCGCTAACTTTTGGCATAATTTGTTACACAGCAATAGATAACTAATGCATCATTATGCTATATATATATTTTTTTTCTGTTCAGTCATAGAGTTTTCAATTCCCCCCACCACCTTAACTTCCCCTTCCCATACCCCTCAGAAATGAGCAGACTGGGTGTTTCTTCCATGCCTGTTTCTGTGCTCATATAATCATGGTCACAATGCTATGTGTGTGGGAGACCTACTGGGCCACCCCTCATTCTTGAACAGATGCTCTGGCTTCATATCTGGCACAGGCACCCAAGTGCCCAGTGTCCGTCAGAGTTGTGCCCTCCTCCCTGCCAAACGGAGATCCTAAAGAATCTTGTCGTTTACATAAGCAATTAGCAACAGCTGGCAAGAGCAGCGGACATCTGCATGCTTCTATTTTTTCCCCTGGGCACCTGGGACTCAGCTGTAGGGTCCTAAACCCCACAGAAGGCTCTGAGCAATAGAGCATGTGCTGCTCTGACATCTTAGGTCCTCAGAGCACGGGGACTGCAAAATGAAAATACATTTTAAAAATTATATATAAATATATATAATTTTTTAAATTTATCTTCATTGTTGAGAGTATTACAGATGCCCCCCAACCCTTCCCCCCACCCCCATTAGCCTCCCTCCTCCCAGCCTCTGTCCCACCCCAGGCCTTGTGCATATGTTTTAAATAAACATCCAGCCCCTCTCCAGCCAAAGAAGTGTTGTTCTTCCCCGTGGACATTAGTCAAACAATTTCTGGCGAATTGCCTTTGGCAGTCTGTTTCCAAGAAGTATATAATGCTGGGCTCAGTCCGTCAGGCAGTCTTCACTCTTTGCCTGTTCCCAAGCCCTGTCTCCTAATGGGGGACCCCGCTGGTGACCTGGCTGGAACCTGCCCGCCTCAGGACTGCCCTGCCCCTTCGTAGGCCAGCTCCTCTCCTTCTGCGAGTGCTCCCAGAGCTCGTTCTTCCCCTTGGGTGATGTTCTAGAACCATCAGCTCTCAGTTCCCACAGGTGCAGCCAGAGCCGTGGACGGCAGGGGATTTATCTGTCTCATCATTGCTACCTCCCACGGTTTGGCACAAGCCCCAGAACAGAAGGCACTTAATAAATAATTTGCAAATCAGTGACTAGATCGGCTATAAAAGACGGCTGCCTGTTTGCAAAAATCAAATCCATGTTCAAAGGACCAAATGTGTCACCTTTTACAGCTGCCCTGTACCAGGAGCTTACTGCAGGTCCAACACTGGGCCCTTCTTAATGTGCATTACTCCGTCCAGCCCGCACAGCGGCTCCCCGGGGTGGGGACCGTCCCCTCCACTTCAGATGGTGATGGCGAGTGTCAGAGTAATGAAATCACCCGCCCAAAGCCACACGGTTTGGAGTCTGCCCAGCTCCAAATATTTAACCATTATGCAACACCATTTGCTTCTTATGAAATATTCAGAAGTTTCGGAAGTTTCAAAAATACAGATATGATATATTTCCAATAGGACATGATCTCACTCATCTAGGGGAAATGATGAACAACATAGACTGATGAACAAGAACAGACCCAGAGATAAAAAGCCATGGGTCAGACGGTTGGATCTCAGAGGGAGGGTGGGGATAAAAGGGAGAGATCAACCAAAGGACTTATGTGCACACATATGAGCCTAACCAGTGGTCAAGGACAATAGGGGGTGGGGACATGAGTGGGGAGGGGTGGGGGATTGGAATGGGGACAAATGAGGACAAATATGTAATACCTTAATCAATAAAGAAATTAAAAAAATACAGTTAGGAACAAAGAAAAAAATCACCCATTTAGATTCCCACTGAGCAGAATTTTAACTGATATTAGCATATGGTCTCTTCAATCCCAGCATTCTCTTGTTTTCTTCCCCTCTCCCCACACCCACATACTAAGACACTGAGACCACCAGAAGGGTGTGCAGAAGACCCGGCAGTGATGTCTCAGGAAAGGCCAGTCCCCCAGACACATCTGTAGCTGCTCTGGATCCGATCGGAGTGGGGGACACCCAGGGAGGGGCACCGCTTCCTGTGCTCCCAGCAGCGCGCTGGCCTGGAAAGAGGAAACCGGTGCTCTGTGCTCACCCTGGTACTCAGCAACTCATCCGGGAGAGAGCCTGGCTCTGCCCCTATTCAATCCTCACCTACCTGAGTGAGTGTGTGTGTGTGTGTGTGTGTGTGTGTGTGTGTTGCAGCCAATGCACCAATGGAACAGACCCTCCTCACCCCAGAAGATATTTCTCTCTGAAGTATTTGCCATGTAAAATAATCTTTTAAAAATATATTTCATTGATTTTTTTACAGAGGGTAAGGGAGAGAGAGTTAGACACATTGATGAGAGAGAAACATCCTTCAGCTGTCTCTTGCACACCTCCTACTGGGGATGTGCCCACAACCAAGGCACATGCCCTTGATTGTTCAGTCCACAGGCCGATGCTCTATCCACTGAGCTAAACCAGTTAGGGCAGTATTTGCCATATAAATGATACTCAGATACATGAAGGCAGCCAGACATCGGCAGTGGGAGAATGGAAAAACACTTGGAATCAGGCAGACCTGGTTCAAATTCCAGCCTGTTACATATTAGCTGTGCAACTTTGGGCAAGTGACTTAACCTCTCTGAGCGTGGATTTTTGTCCATTGGTGAAGGGAGGGCAGCATACTCTGAGCTTGGCAAGTGAGGACTAAACAGGTTCGTATGTGTTGATTATCTTAGCAAAGAGCGTGCACTATTTCTAGAGACCACCATGGGAGTCTGAGGACCTGGATTCCGGTTTGAACGTTGCCATAGTCCTAGAGCAAGTTACCTAACCCAGTGGTCAGCAAACTGCGGCTCGCGAGCCACAGGCGGCTCTTTGGCCTCTTGAGTTTTTAGCAAAGGCCAGCATAGGAGTACCCTAATTAAGTTAATAACAATGTACCTACCTATTTGGTTTAAATTTAAAAAATTTGGCTCTCAAAAGAAATTTCAATCATTGTACTGTTAGTATTGGGCTCTGTTGACTAATGAGTTTGCTGACCACTGACTTAACCTCACTGAAGCCCAGGCCCTCGTTTGTAAGAAGAAGGAGCCCCAAACAGACTGGAAATGGCCACCACGAAGAGTCAGACCCAGCTGGGGGAGGGAGGGTCGTCTCCCCTCTGGAGACACAGGGCCAAGGAGCCCAAGAACCTCATCCCGCCACACCGAGGGGCACACAGTGCCAAGGCCCGTTTCCTCTCCCCGCTCACAGCGGCCAGGCCTCACACAGAGACAAATCGCCTGACCCTCCCAGGAGCCGCGGGCAATGATGGAGACGAGCACATGTGCTCTCCCAGTGTTTATAATTAGAAAAGTCGCTTCGAACAGGATGGGACCTTGGGAAGGCTAATGGAGAAGCAGTCTGAACTTGGCCAGGATTTTTAAAAAATATATTTTATTGATTTTTTACAGAGAGAAGGGAGAGGGACAGAGAGCTAGAAACATTGATGACAGAGAAACATCGACCACCTGCCTCTTGCACACCCCCTACTGGGGATGTGCCCGCAACCAACGTACATGCCCCTGACCAGAATGGAACCTGGGACCTTTCAGTCCGCAGACCGACGCTCTACCACTGAGCCAAAGTGGTTTTGGCCTGGATTTTTTTTTTTTAAAATATATTTTATTGATTTTTTTTTTTACAGAGAGGAAAGGAGAGGGACAGAGGGTTAGAAACATCTGTGAGAGAGAAACATCAATCAGCTGCCTCCTGAATGCCCCCTACTGGGGATGTGCCCACAACCAAGGTACATACCCTTGACTGGAATCGAACCCGGGACCCTTCAGTCCGCAGGTTGACGCTCTATCCACTGAGCGAAACCAGTTTCGGCTTGGCCTGGATTTTAAAGAGAGCCCGCAGGAAGGAGGGGAAGGCATGGGTTTCTCTGGTCTGGGTGGCAGGTGGGCTACAGGGTGGGGCCATGACCCAGGCTGGAGTGAGACCCTCTGTTATTTCAGTAAAAGATCAAAGTGCTTGAGGATCATTTGCAAAAGTCATCTCTGCCCAGCCCTGTGGGCTGGGGCCCATTCCGAAGGTGCCTCAGTCCGTGAGAAGGTCTTTACGAGGCATCCCCTCGCCTGGCTCCTGAAGCATTGTGGGAAGCCAGGCTCTCCCAGGCGGTGGGCGTTCTCCATCCTTCACTGGATCTTCTGCAGGTCCTCCGGCCCAAAGGAGGCAGGCAGCAGCTCCTGGACTGTCCTGACAACATAGGTGCCATCCGGCTTGGTCATGTAGATAGCCCAGCTGGAGCCAAACTGGAAAAGAGTCAAAGCTGGCGTGAGGGAGGCAGTGTTGTCGAGGGGTTAGGGCAGACCCGGGTTTGAGTCTGGCTCTACCTCTTCCTGTCTAATGTTGCTCTCTGTGCCTCAGTTTCCTCATCTGTAAAATGGGAGTGACAATGACACCTGCTTCACAGAGCTTGAGGGAAGCGACAATGAGGGATGGCATGGTAAGCGGTTAGTAGAGTGCTTTGCTCTGGGTTAATGGGCAATGAGTGTAATTACAGACTCACCCAGGGCTTTATGAAAACAATATCGAAACCCTGAGCAGGCTCCTCTGGCCAGGACAAAGAGCAACCAATACCTGCTTCCCTTCCTCCAGCACCTCGTTCAGTCCTCACAACCAGGAGAAGGTGCACCCCGATACTGCACCTGAGTGATTTCATCCTTTACCCTGGAGGCAGGCGCTATTATTACCCCATCTTACTGATACCAAACTGATGCTTAGCAGGGTAATGTCAGCAAAGCAGAGTTTTATTTCATTAAAAAAAAAAAAAAAAAAAAAAATATATATATATATATATATATATATATATATATATATATATATAGTTGATTTTTTACCGAGAGGAAGGGAGAGGGATAGAGAGAGAGAAACATAGGTCAGCTGCTTCCTGCACAGTCCCTACTGGGTATGTGCCCACAACCAGGGTACGTGCCCTTGACCGGAATCGAACCCGGGACCCTTGAATCAGCAGGTCGACGCTCTAGCCACTGAGCTAAACCGATCAGGGCAGCAAAGCAGACTTTTAGCCCAAATCTGTTTCTACGTGTTTCCTTTACACAATATCAGGACTACCCTCGCTTGTGACCGTGGGCAAATGACCAAGCTCTTTGGGTCTCCGTGTCTTATTCTGTGAAATGGCTTCAGAGACAGAATGTAGCAGCAGGAAGGAGAGTGAAATCGGCTGTAGCATAAAGGAAAGAGGCCTGACGTGGGGATCAGCAGACAGGAGGCCTGCCTGGTCGGGCGTTGTGATAATTACAGGTGATGGGCCTTATGCAGTGCCTGGCACATAGTACATGCTTAGTTATTGGAAGCCGTTCCTGTTGGTTGCTAGCGGTTTGCTCCTGAGCGCACAGGTTTGCAGTTTGCTGTTTTCACGCCTCTGTCGGAATCTCCAACTTATTACCGGGCACAATCAGCCATGTGGCTTTTTAAAATTAGTGTGCTCAGCAGGCTGTGCCCGAGGGTATGAGTGATAGTGAGTTTTAGGATGAAAGCTGAGTGAGTTTAAGTGCCTGGTCCCTAGTCCCCAAGCTTCATCTCGTGTGATTAGCATTTTGTTTTTCGTGTTGCCTCTCTCCCCCCCTGTAGGCCTTCTCATTTGCTTTCTCTCACTTGCCAACCAGCCATTGGACCAACTCAGGCCTCAGGAGCCAGGGAGCTGGCGTCCTGATGTGGTTTCCCTCTGTGGCCTTGGGCTAGCCGGGGAGTTGGACCACCGTGTCTGCCCCTCCCAGTGCCTTCACCGTGGCATTCTGCACCTGGACTCGGGAAACGTGTTCTGCTCACCGTGTCTGCTTTGCAGTCCGGGCAAAACCACGGAGCTTGCATATTTGACAGATGCCTTGAGACCCCAAGGCACAAAAACAAAACTGAAACAACCCATCTGCCCCGGAATATAAAACAATCACAACAGCAGAAGCCTGGTGGAGGAGCAGCACCACATGTCTCCTCCAGGGCCGAGATGGACTTGTCCTGTTTACCAAACCGTAAGGGAGGGAGTCAGCCGCAAGGAGCAGGCTTTGCTGTCCATCTGCTCCCGATAGTGGCTCGTCTCTGCTGTGGTCCGGCGACCCACGACCTGTACCGTCCTTCCCAGGTCATTTCACTTCTCCGAGGAACAGAGATAACGCCCACTCCACCCGCCCAGGCCGGGGGCAGGGATTACCTGAGGTGCCGCGCTTAGTGGGGCTGATGATATGCTATCAGAGCTCAGGGGCCTGTGGGATTCTTGAAGCTGATGGCTTTAACCTTTTGGGATTCTGGAGGACACAGACCTTTCTCAGAGTCCACGGAAGGTCCTGCTGTCCCTTTTCCCGAATGCACACGCACGTGTCAGAAACTTCCACTAACCTATCACCCATGAATTTCATGTAACCCACCTATGTCCCTCCTTCGATGGCAATGTATAAATACAGAGGTAACCCGCCATTCTCCGGAGCATTATCTCAATTCGTTGAGGTTCTGCTTCCCGGCATATGTCGACAGTTTGGCTCACATAAACTCACAAAAATTCTTTACAGGTTCCAATGGTGTTGTAATGGCTCATCTCTGCTGTGGTTGGATCAAAACAGCCTGCACCGTTAGTGAATGAGTGGGCGTGGCTGTGTGCCAATAAAACTTTATTTAGAATAAATAGCTGTAGGCTGGATTTGCCCATGGGCTATTGTTTCCTGACTTCTGGCTCTGACCTAGAGTATGACCTGCTGCCCCTTCTGTCACTCATGACTCATTTTCCTGCATTTTTTTCCTCCATAGCCTCGTCCTCACTCAGAAACTCTACTGCTTGTTTATTCTGCTCCTTGTTTATTGTTTGTCTCCTGCACTATAAACTGTGAGGGCAGGACCTGGCCTCGTTTTCACATAAATGAAAGAATTATACCCGGTGATTCGAGTAGGCTCAGGAAGGCCTTTGAAACCAGCCAGCGCAGCAAACAGGACAGTAGCTGGCAGCTTGGTTTCCCTCCCACGGCTTGGGGCAAGGGGGAAGGCATCCGACTTACATTCCAGAAAGAAAGAGCTGCTTACCTCTCTCATGACTTGCCTGCAGGCCCCACACGGTGAGATGAAATCATCTTGCAAGTCACTGGGGAAGAAGAGAGTCACAGACAGGTCAGTTTTTCCTGAGACATGAGCACAGTGGCGGGGATCCAGGCCCCCTGCGGGGTAAGTCAGACGGCCAGGCCATTCTTGGCTCACAGATGGTGTCCTAGAGGCTTGGATGCAGTGCCTGGAGGTTTCCCAAGTTGCAAAGGCGAGGCCGTGGGCAGGGCCATTCTTTTCATGAGTGCATTTAATAAACATTTAGTGAGCCTGCCTTCACCCAAACCCTGGGGACACAAAAGTGAAGGAAAATTTGCCTCTGGCCTTTAAGAGACTGCTCAGTCCGGTAGGAGACAGAAAGCTGTCATTTTCCACAAAATGCAGTAAGAATGCATGGTAAGAAGGAGACAATCTCTGCCTACAGCAGGAGAGAGAATATTTTTAAAAATATATATCATCATTTTTTACAGAGAGGAAGGAAGAGGGGTAGAGAGTTAGAAACATCGATGAGAGAGAGACATTGATCAGCTGCCTCCTGCACACCCCTTACTGGGGATGAGCCTGCAACCAAGATACATGCCCTTGACTGGAATCGAACCTGGGACCTTTCAGTCCGCAGGCCAATGCTCTATCCACTGAGCCAAACCTTGTTAATTATATGGCCCTAGGTGGTTTGGCTCAGTGGAGAGAGCGTCGGCCTGTGGACTGAAGGGTCTTGGGTTCAATTCCAGTCAAGGGTATGTACCTCAGTTGCAGGCTTCTCCCCAACCAGGGCCCTAGTCAGTGCGCGTGCAGGAGGCAACCAATTGTTGCTCTCTCATTGATATTTCTCTCTTGATAGTGGCTCTCTCTCTAAAAGTCAATGGAAAAATATCCTCGGGTGAGGAAATAAATAAATATTATTTAATATGTGTTGATTCTTAGAGAGAGTGGGAGAGATAAGAAAAGACAGAGAAATATCGATCTGAGAGAAAATATTGATGTTGGTTGCCTCCTGCACGTGCCCGACCAGGGCCTGGGAAGAGCCTGCAACCTCTGTATGTGTCCTTGATCGGAACTGAACCCAGGACCCTTCAGTCTGCAGATTGATGCTCTATCCACTGAGCTAAACCAGCCAGGTCCCCAAGCCTGGGTTTTTAACCATTACTCAACATTCCTGCCAAGAGTGAGAACTGAAGCTTGAAAGGTATCCCAGAATGAGCTGGGTGTCTCGGGACATTCCCTCCATGCTTTCCCAAACTCTCCCTCCCCTGCCTGTGCTGGAGTGGAGGGTTTCCTGTGGTTTGTGCTGACCTTGGTCACACACGGAGGCCAGGCTTATCAGACTCGACAGGCTGGAAACTTATTGACTTTGATGACTGCAGCTAGGACCCCAGTGGGACAGGCTTATCTCCTCATTAGCGAAACTCCATTCTGGGCTCGGCTCTCTCTATCTCACAGACCTCACTGGGGCTCTCAGACTCGGTTCACGCTCGCCTGTGCTAACAGGGGAGCTCCATTCACCCTCTAAGTCCAGGCTCTCAATTGAACAAACGATTAATGCAATAATGACTAGTTCTGGCTCGGGGACGCTGGTGCAGGCAGAATACCCGGAGCGGAGCAGTTGGGTACTGGGAAAATGCAGTTTTATGTAAATAGGGCTATTTGCTCATCGTCGCTAGCAATACCCAGTCATGTTTAAAAGTAGATAATGAACAAGAGCAGAAGCCTTTCGCTGGGAGCATGCTAAACAGAGCAAGGCTTTCGTGCCATTAACCTTTTGTTGACTTTGGCCTCTTTCCCCCCCAGAATGTCATTATTTTCTTGGATCAGCTTTGAAATGGAGTGACTTTCCATGCCTCTTGGCTTTTTTTTTTTTTATAAAGTGCACTTCACATCCTGATCTCTGCTTGTCCACACAAAATGTTCCGGCACAGCCGTGTGTACTCCTCTCAAAGCCGAGGGGAGCCAGGAGAGGCCCGGGCTCGGAAAGGGCTCTGGCAGCGGGCCCTCCTCATGAGTGGCTGCAGTTACTCTGGGAAAAAACCTTTAATAACCTGGTCCACCTTGGGGCCAGACAGAGGCCAAGTTTAGAATTTTATAAAAGAAATGGCGGTGGATAGCTGAGATCAGGGCTGGAATCTGACTAGGTGGAACCATACCCAGTCTACCTTGCTGCCACCCCACCAGCTGTGTTTGTATCTGTGTTTAGCACCTACAGATGGGTGCTATCCAGGCAAGAGTCCACTTGCACCGTGATGGGTCCCAGGGTCAGCTCAAGGAGAGCAGGGAACAGTGTCTGACATCCTGGCACAGCATGGAGCGGTGGAATGAGCCATGGAGCAGTGGAAAGATCGGGTTTTGTCCTGGCTCTGTCACTAAAGTTGTTCAACTTCCCTGGGCCTCAGTTTCTTCAGCTGTGAAATGGGGGTAAGGGACAGGTCTAGGCAGCCAGGTAATTTTTTGGTCCCTCTGGCTTTAGGATTCTATGCTGCTTTTCTATTGCATCTTGGAGAGATCTGTTGTATTTTGTGCCGAAATGAGAACACAGAGACACCTGCCCTTGTCTTAGCTGCCGTGGTTATACACCTGCTCTGCAGTCACACCGAGGTTAGAGTCCATTTCTCGTTTACCTCCTTACCCTCAGCTCTCAGCCCACAGTCCTCTACGATGCCTGGCACAGAGGAAGTATGGAATAAACATGTCAGACGAATGCATGGATGCCTAGCAGGTGCGCGTTGGCTGAGCGGATGAATGAATATGGCTGTGACCCAGATTTCCCGCTCACCTGGCAATAGCAATTGCCCTGAAATCCTTGTATCCTTCTGAGATGGCCTTCTGGATAGCGGTCCGCTCAGCACAGATGCCCAGCGGGTAGCAGGCGTTTTCTACGTTGCACCCTGAGGAGAGAGGAGAGCCCGGTGATATTTTGGGCAGAGTCCCTTTCTAATGCACGCGCTAAGAGGCTTGCTCCATTCCGGTGCAGGGAGGGACCGGCTACTCCAAACAAGGTGGGGAGAAGAAGAGGGCAATTTGACTCAAACCACTGGGAGATTCTGTGACTGACTGGTACAGCGTCCCTTCCCAAGAACCCCCCACTCCCATCCCTTTACAGGGCCCCCATCTTGAAGCTCAGCCCAGGAGCAGGGCAGGAAAACAGAGCAGGTTAAGCCAGTCTCATCTCCCCAGCAGCCGTCAAGGCCAAGGGAGACGCTGAGGCTTAGGAAAGTGAGCACAACCCCAGCCCCGAATCTAAGAGACAGAAGCTACGGGGGTGGGGGTGGGGGTCGGGAGTTCTGATTCAAAGACTGGGCTTGTGCAAAATTTTTGCTGCTGGTTACTAGCTATCAGGGCTCAGCCATCTTCCCTCTGAGCTGCATTGCAAAACAAACTGTCAAGATCAACAAACTAACAAACAAAACACTGGCAAGGCCCCGACTGGCGAGGCTCAGTGGTTGAGCGGGGACCTATGAACCGGGAGGTCACGGTTCGATTCCTGGTCAGGGCACATGCCCAGGGTGTGAGCTCGATCCCCACTGTGGGGCGTGCAGGAGGCAGCCAGTCATGATTCTCCCTCATCATTGATATTCCATCTCTCTTTCCCTCTTCCTTTCTCTCAATAAAAATATATTAAAAACAGAAACACTGGCGAGCTTTGCAAAAAGGTGTCTGTGATTGCACAGGTCTTAAGGTGATCCCCAGTTCTCCAATGGGAGATGGGGTGCCAAGGTGGGATAGCCCGCAGTCAGGGAGTCCTCCCCATGTCCCTCTCAAGGGTGTCCCAGGGGGACAATGGAAAAAACAGGTCGGCTGATGAAACTCCCCATTTTCAAGGAAATGAGACCGGGAGCAAATGGCACAGACAAATCGGGATTTGTCACTCTTCACAGCTTACCTTCCTCCTTGGGGCAGAGCTATTGTTCCCCAGTATTTATTTCCTCCTTTCTTTAATACAAGTGACTCCGATTCCAATAACCAGACCACAGAACCAGGCAGCTAGAGACTATATTTCCCAGACTCCCTTGCAGCATAGTGTTGTCACGTGACTTAAGTTTCTGCCAATGGGATGTGGCCCAAAGCGATGAAACTTCTGGTCATTTTTATTTTTATTTTTTATTTTATTTTATTTTATTTTATTTTGGTCAGGAATTGCTTGTGCATTACTTCCTTTTCCCCTCCACAGGCTGGCAAGGGGCGGGACACCTTTGACCACGTGGTTCATTGTCATAGAGATGGAAAAACAAGGCAGAAGGAATTTGGAGCAGAATTGAGTTGCCTCTTCTGGATCAACTGCCTACTCTGAATTGTTGTGAGAGAAAAGAGATTTGCCGTGTCTGAGTCACTGTATGTTGGGATTTTTGTTACAGCAGCTTCACCTATTCCTAATGCAGAAATTTATGGTCAAGTGAGACACAGCTTTAACAAAAACATCTAAAATATGTGGCCTTGGCTTAGCAGGTGGGCAATGAGAAAGAACTACAGTCAGCCTGGTGGGAAGCGGCTGCTCTTGCTACTCTGTAACATATTATTTGAAAACCCCCACCCTGTGATAACCTGGAAGGCAGACACTAGGATTTCTCCACTTGGCAATGGGAATCAGCCCTGTGGCCAAGATATGATTAAGGAAATCATCTTCTCATCTGTTTCCAGTGCCCCCCGGACAACTACCACGAAGGTGAGGCAGCAGGTGTGGGCCAGTCAGGAAAACCAGCTAGTAAAATAAATAAAAATAAAATAAAATAAAATAAAATAAAATAAATTGCTCTCACTGGTTTGGCTCGATGGATAGAGCGTCAGCCTTCGGACTGAAGGGTCCTGGGTTCAATTCCAGTCAAGGGCATGTACCTTGGTTGCAGGCACATCCCCAGTGGGGGGTGTGCAGGAGGCAGCTAGTCGGTGTTCCTCTCTCATTGATGTTTCTAACCCTCTATCCCTCTCTCTTCCTCTCTGTAAAAAAAAAAAAAAAAAAAAAAAAAAGACAGGCTTAAAAACTATGCCCAGAAAGGACTGTTGGGTGCGGATCCACTGCATGAGAGTGACAGGAAAGAGACCAGGAGGTTTCTAAGATTTTGATAGACTTAGATCTTAGATAGCCAGAGAAGGAAGCCACAGGTCTGGTCTCCAAAAGCCTGTGATTGTTCAGTCCCCAAGAGACCCTGGCCCCCAAACCCACCCTCAGAAGTGAGCTGAAAGCTGTGTGCTCCCAAAGAGTGGAAATCCTCTCTCACACTCATTTCAGATGTGCAGGCAAGAATAATAATGAAGTATGGTAGCAATCATCTCAGGTAGAAACTGCTGTTTGGGTTCTGTACTTGTTTGCTAAAACAATAGAAAGTTATTTTGGTTTTCTGAACTTATGTATGACTGAATACTACCTTGATGGCAGTTTGAATATCCCCTTGATTGTGATCTCACTGGCCACTGTGAAGCACATCCCTGGGAACCAAGACAGTTCAATTATCCTAAATCCCCTTAGCTACAGATAGTGTGTTCCTGTTGACTCAGTGGTCCCAGGATCTGGACAGCACAATTGTTCTAAATTGTCCAGGGGATCCGCCCCAGATAATGTGCTTCCTTTAATTCAGTGATTTGCAGATACTTTAGATAACTAACTTGCTCAGTTTCACTTCTGTAAAACCGAGAAACAGGTTCCTCATTCCAGACCCGAAGATGTAATCAATATCTTTGTGATATCCTGCCAATATAAGCCAGAGGTGGCAAGCTGTTTGAGGCTGCGAGATTTGGAGCTTTAGCCCCTCGTATGCCACCGCCTTTAATAAATAACTCCATAATTTGACTTTTTTTTGAAGCGTCCTTTGTAAGATGGGGGCAAGAAGGAAGTTCTCAGAGGGTCACCGGGGGTCCTATGGCAAAGACTGTTCCCAATGTTCACGCTCCCAATAGAATCCACTGGAGTTTAGCTGGGCAAGTGGCTACCCAGCTGGAGACTACATTTCCCAGCCTCCTTAGGAGCTATTTGTAGTCCAGTAGTTTTAGCCAATGGGATGTGAGGGGGTGTGCGACTTCTAGATGATGTTTTTATGCGAACATTGCTAGCTGCCCACTTCATCTTCTCTTTCCCAGGGGTAGAAACATGGATGTGATGATGAGTGCCAGTTTTGAGCACCTGGATTAAGACACCACTCTAGGGATGGCAGGACAAGACAGAAGGAATCTGATCTCTTGAACAATCTTGCAGAGAGAGCAGAACAGCCCATATGATCTGGGCTCCAGCCCATTCTGGTCTGTTAAATGAGAGAAAAACAAGCAGCCATCTTGTATTTTTTCATCAGCTCATTCTGTTCCATCTCTAGCACACTCCCTTTAAAAATAAGTTTTATTGTGTTTATTTACTTATTTAAATCAATAATATATATAATATATATATATTTTATTGATTTTTTACAGAGGGAAAGGGAGAGGAATAGAGAGCCAGAAACATCGATGAGAGAGAAACATCGACCAGCTGCCTCCTGCACACCCCCCACTGGGGATGTGCCCGCAACCAATGTACATGCCCTGGACCAGAATCGAACCCGGGACCCTTCAGTCTGCAGGCCGATACTCTATCCACTGAGCCAAACCGGTTTCAGCTTAAATATATTTTTATTGACTTCAGAGAGGAAGGGAGAGGGAGAGATAGAAACATCAATGATGAGTGAGAATCATTGACTGGCTGCCTCCTGCACACCCCACACTGGGGATCGAGCCTACGATCCAGGAATGTGCCCTGACCAGGAATCGAATGGTGACCTCCTGGTTCATAGGTCAATGCTCAAGCACTGAGACACACTGCCCGAGCTCACACTCCCTTTTCCTAAGTCTGAGTCTTCATTGTGATTATGTAACATTTTTTCTCTTCCTGTATTCTTCCAATTTGAAAATTGTTTGGTCATTATCTCTTCAGATATTTTCCTCATATAGTTTTCATTATTTACTGGACAAGTTCAATTAATCATGTAACTCCTTAACCACGATCATGCGTCTTAGGATTAGGGCATTCAAGTCCCACTGTTGAAATGTGTGCAGGAACTGTTGTGTAGGGAATGGCTGTGCAGTGTTGGGTGGAGGCAGGTTAGGGATTCTACTTGAAGAAGGCAGGTGTATATACTGGTCACCAAAGGATGGACTACAGGGAGCATCTATTATTTTGACAATTAATACCTCTTCCTCCTTTTTTCTTTTTTTTCCGGAGAAAGGAGCCTCATCTCATTCTTTAGGATGTTTCTCTGTCTTTTCCTCTCTCTAACAGATCAATGGAAAAATATCCTCTGGTGAGGATTAACAAAAAAGATAAAAAGAAAAGAAAACAAAGCAACAACAACAACAACAAAACAAACAAAAAAAAGGAGGAAGACAGCTCTTGGCCATATACCATAATCCTGAAAGGCTAGACAATTTTGTTTTGTTTCCTTAAGCCCAGAAAATGTGCCAGTGACCTGTCCAGTCAAACCAGCTTTCCTTCCCGGTATTGCCGTGACTTACTCTGAAGCACACAAGGGGGTTGGGATGGTGCCAGCTGAGAAACCCATAAGGATAAGATTGAGCCAAATAGTGCTGTGATGACGGTGTTATGGTGACTAATTGCTTTCCTTTGCTTTTGTCTCTTATTGCTTTTCTTTTGAGATGCTGGGAACTGTTTCTCTCTTCCCCGCCTAGTTTCCCCAGCCAGCCTCCTGACACCTGAAATGACTGTCCTTAAACATGCCCTCTCCGCTTTGCTGACCTGGACCGGCACTCCCTGGAGCATGTTATTTGCATTATGTCATTAATCCTTTTAACAACTCTGACAGGCAGATACTATTATTGATTGATCCTCCCTTCCCCCCCCCAACTGATGGACGGAGAATGACATAAACTGCACCTGCGGCCTGGACACTCCTGAGCACCTAACCAGGCG